AGTTAAGAAAGAGCGTATTCGGTGTCAAGGGGGTCTCTCCACAGCCGCCCCACCATGCCCAGGGCCCCAGGAACACTCTCTGGCTGCTCAGCCAAGTTCCTAGACAGCTCCAGAGCCCAGCTAGGCTGCAACAGGGGCGACTGAGGCAGCTGGAAGAGGCAGCTGTAAGCAGAGCCGGTAACTGGACCTGGATGGTGCAGGGGTCTGGCTGCCAGGCCAGGTTACTCGATCTCCTCGATCTCCTCGGGCGACGCCGGCCCCGGAGCTGGAATCCTGGGATGGCTGGGCTGACAGGAGCTCCTTCTGTGGAACTGGAGATGGGCGTCTCGCCCCAATCTTTGCCGTGGCAAATGGAGAAATGGGCTCCGAGGCTGACCTGGGGTCACTGAGTTCCTGCCACGATACAGAGGCCCAGGCAGAGCTAGCTGCTGGCCCAAGGTCATCCAGCAAGGTCACTTCATATAAAGTGAACATGTGGACCAGGCCCTGTTCTAATGCCTTATTTTACAGAAGGGGAAATCGTCTTGCCTGGAAGAGGGAGAGGATCCCAGGAGTCCTACCCCCGCCCTCCGGGACCTTTTTGCTGTTTCTTTGGTGGTCCCGTTACTGTGCACTGGTCACGTGACCAGACGTTCATCTAGAACTGGACCACTGCTCTAGATGTGGCCACTAGGAAATTTAAAAGGACACGTGTGTGTGCATGGTTTTCTGTTGGACGTTGTTGGTCTACGATATGTTCTTTCAACCCTGAAGCAACATTTAAAAGTTGGACTTACAGTCACCCATAGTTTATAGATGGGGAAACTGAGGCCCAAAGAGGGGAAGTGACCGTCAGAGGTCTTGTGACTGATAAAAAGCAGAGCCAGGATTTGAACGTAGACCATGTATTTTGGAGACGGGGCTGTTACCCTGAGGCTCTTGGCTGGCACTGTTGTCTGTCCAGCCCTCATTCGGGGCCTGTTTCCCCACCGGGCAGTGAGAGGGGGCTGGGCTGGGCGGGGCGGGGCAGGAGGGCGGGCAGATGGCCTGTGAACAGTTCATTGGGGCCCTCGGAAATGGACAGCCAGAAAGTCATCAATATGGGGTGCAGACCAAAGCCCTCTGGGCGTGTGCACACACTGTGTGGGCTGCTCACCACTGCTGGGGCACATGCCTGTTCTGGGGTTGTGTCCATGGATATGTGTGAACACAGACACCATAACATGTGCTGCACTTCAGGGCCTGTGGACATGTGCGGGGGGACCCACCTGCCTGTGGACACCTGTGCATGTTGCGGAGGTGATGAACGAAGTGGAACCAGGCAAGAGGTCCGATTTGGGTTCAACTCCTTGTGCTGACACTTAGTTCATCAACATACAACAAGCCATAATTGAGCACCAATGGTGTGCCAGACACCATGGGGACATGTCACTGGCCAGGATACACACAGGCCTGCCCTCACTATTTAGGGGGGCAGAAAGGCTCGGAATGAGCTATTACATGGGTGATTATTTTATTTGGGAGAATCTGTGCATAAGTAGATTCTCTGAATTATGGCGCACACAGGTCTCTGGAGATCTTGCTAAAATGCAGGCTCTGGTTGGGCGGGTCTGGGATGAGGCACAGGACTCTGCATTCTAATAGCTCTCAAATGAGGCTAGGCTGCTGGTCCAAGGACCATATTTGGAGAAGCAAAGGGTCTAAAGGACCCTTTGAAAGTGTGACACCAGTTGGGGGCAGGGGTGACATGGGGAGGGGAGAGGCTGCTGGAGTCCGGGGTGATGGGTGTAGAGGGGACTCTCTGAGGAGGCAGCATTTCAGCAAAGATCTGAAATAAAGAAGGAGTCTGTGGGTATCTGAAAGAAGAGGCTTTTGGGTGTGGGGGGACATCCTGTGCAAAGGCCCTGGGGCAGAGCTGTGCCTGGCATGATGGAGGAATAGCAAGGAGGCCCTGTGGCTGGAGCAGAGTGAGCAAGGAGGAGTGAGGGCAGGTAGGGGCAGATGAAGGCAGGTCATACAAGGCCTTGTGGGCCACTGGGAGTACTTGGGCTTTTACCCTGAGGAAGGTGGGAGTCCTGGAGGGCTGTGAGCAGAGAGGTGACATAGCCCTGACATAGGTGCTCACATGAGCCCCCTGGTGACTGCTGCAGGGAAAACAGGCTGGGGGAGCAAGGGCTGGACCAGGGTGGAGGATACTACCCTGGTCCGCGGGAGATGATGGGGGCTAACCAGGGGGTGGACTGAGAAGAGGGGAGAATTCTGGATAAATTTGAAGGCAGAGCTCACAGGACTTGATGGCATTGGATGTGAGGGTCAGAGAATGAGGCGGGGGCGGGGGGGGGGGTGAGGAGGGGAGAGCAGCGGGGGCGGGGTGTTGGAGGGAGTTGGAGAGTGATTCCTGGGTATGGCCTGAGCCTGCAGCTGAAACAGCCAGGGCCAAGGAAGCACCGGTAGGGGTCAGTCAGGAGTTCAATTTGATCTGTATGTTCAGCACCTTCCAGTGAAAATCCTGACAGGGTTTCTGTTTTATCTGTTGTTTGTTTTGGAACGTAACAGCTCATCCTAAAATTTGTACTGAAGCCATGGGCTTCAAGAGTAGCCCGGTGTGGCTCAGTGGATTGATGCCGTCCCAAAGACTGCGAGGTTGCCAGTTTGATTTCCAGTCAGGGCACATGCCCAGGTTTCTGGCTAGATCCCCAGTGGGGGGCATGCAGGAGGCAGCTGATCAATGCTTCTCTCTCACATTGATGTTCTATCTCTCTCTTCCTTCCTCTATCTCTAATTAAAAAAAAAAAAAAAGAGCAGCCCAGACCTGCGGGCCAGAATTAGTGGGAGAAATGTTCCGGAAGGGAATTCAAACCTATGACAGAACTTATAGTAACTAAGGCAGTGTAATACCTGAGAAGTCGCTCCAGAGGCCACTTAATGATGGAAGGAGATGAAGTAGGATGGCCTTAAGGAATTTCCATCTCTGCCTCAGTTTCCTCATCTGTAAAATGGGATTGCCCGCTAGGAGTTGGAGTGATGGATGAGGGTTCAAGCTGACAGGCCCAGCCACAGCCTGAGCCCTTCTGGGTAGGAGCTATTGCTTTATCAATTTATGACCATTCTTCTCCCCCCCGGGCATGGATGCCTACCCCAAGGCTGCAGGCCGGAAGCATGTCCCCTCTACAGGCATGCAGACATGTGGGTGCATGGGTGCCCTGCATGCTATAGGGTACACATGCTGGCCACACACTTCCCTGCCTGGTGGCAGCTCCCGGTGACCAGGTGCTGGGGCAGGTGGTGGGGCGGCTTCCAGGCAGGCGGGCGCCAGGCGGCTGCTCGCAGAGGCTCCTCGAGTTTCATGGAGAGAAGCAGATGGTCTTAGGGGAGCTGGGGGAGGTGCTGAGGCCTCCAGTAACCCCAGGTGGGGGGGGGTAAACTGAGGCCAGGTGCAGTGGGTTGGCCCTGAAGTGGTCCAGACTCCCCCAAAAGAGTATGTGGGGTTCAGTTCTGTATTGTTGTCAGTATAACTAACATGAAAAGACATAAAGCATCACCTCACATTCATTAAGATGGCTATTGTCAAAAATCAGACAATGAGAAATGATGGCAAGGATGTGGAGAAATTGGAACACGATGCACTGTTGGTGAGAATGTAAAATGGTAGAGCCACTGTGGAAACAGTATGGCATTTTCTAAAAAAAAAAATCCCCAAAGAGAATTACCATACGATCCAGCAATTTCACTTCTGGGTACATACCCAAAAGAATTGGAAGCTGCCCTGGCCGGTTTGGCTCAGCGGTTAGAGCATCGGCCTGCGGTCCTGAGAGACCCGGGTTCGGTTCCCGCTAAGGGCACGTACCTCGGTTGCAGTTTGTCCCCGGCCCTGGTCGGTTGTGCGGGTGGCAGCCACTCGATGTGTTCCTTTCACGTCGATGTTTCTCTCTCTCTCTCTGTTCCTCTCTCTCCCTCCCACTCTACCTGAACAAAAAATGGAAAAATGTCCTCTGGTGAGGATAAAAAAAAAAAAAGAATTGGAAGCAGAGTCTCCAAGAGATATTTGCACATCCATGCTCACAGCAGTATTATTCACAGTAGCCAAGAGGTGGAAGCAACCCAAGTGTCCATCCACAGATAATGGATAAACGGAATATGATCTATTCACATGCTGTTGTTATTCAGCCTTAAAAAGGAAGAAATTCTGATGTGCTACAACATGGACAAACCTTGAGGATATTATGCTCAGTGAAATAAACCAGACACAGAAGTATAAATACTGTGTGATTCCACTCATAAGAGGTCCCTAGAGGAGTCAGATCCATAGAGACAGAAAGTAAATGGTGGGTACCAGGGGTGGAGCGCAGGGGAGGGGATTGGAGTTAGTGTTTAATGGGGACTGAGTTTTAATTTGGGAAGGTGGGATGGATGGTGGAGACAGCTGGACAACATTGTGAATGGACTTCATGCCACATAACAGGACACTTAAAAAATGGTTATGATAAATTGTATGTTATATATATTTTATCACAGTGTAAAAAATGTTTCAAAAAAGGCACAGAGCAGACAGAGCACCTGAGAAGTCAGTTACCTGGGCTGGTGTAGGGGAGGAAGGTGGGGCAGGCAAGAGTGGAACTGGCAGTAAAGTTGGGGGGGCGTGAATGCCAGGCAGTGGCCGGGGCCTGGATCTGGGGTCATTGAGAGCCAAGGGAGACTGAGGAGCCGGGGAGGAGCCAGGGAAGGAAACTCTTAAGGAAGGAATGCCGTGTCTGTGCACACGTGGGATCAGGATGTCCTCTGAGTCACAAATCCTGGAAGTTCAAAGTCATGGAGAGGAAGCTCTGATGGTCCACACAGGCCTTCCTGTTTTGGCCCTGAAGGCAGGCACTCCAGGGCCAAAGCACCTCCAGGGGCTCAGAGTTTCCTATGAGGCCCCAGGCAAGGCTGAGAAATGTCCCTGCTGCGGAGATGGGGAAAGTAAAGCATGGGGCTGTCCAGGACTTCTCCGAAGGACAAGGCCGGGAGTTTCTTATTCGGGGGGTCCGGACTGCACCCCTTTCTGGAAGGGGTATGGAGGGCTAGATTCCAGAGGGTGAGTTCTACAAACACTTCCACCAACCAGATTAGTGTGGGGAGAGCGGGCTCCACTCCACATGCCTGAAGGTTCTTTAAATTCCTTTGAATGGGAGGGGGACACAGGCCCCTGGAGAGGTAGCGAGGCACCTGTCACGGGGACTGGAGCAGAGGACAGAAAGGCGGAGTCCAGAAGGAAGTCAGACTTACCGGGGCCTCTGAGGTCCCTGGCCAGCTGGAAGATCCTGTGATCTAAAGTACCGCAATTCCCAGGTTGTGGTTTATATACTTAAGACCTTGAATTTCTTTGAGCCTTTTAGTTTAAGATATTTATGTTTTAATTTTAGCTTTTGAGGCTAATTTTTTAAAATCTCTTTTGAAATGTATCTATCGTCATTATTATTAATTTTTAATTATTTAAAATCATTTAATTTTACCATGATTTAAATATTCTTCTTATTAATTTTTGTTAGAAACAGTTTCCTGAGTTTTCACTGATATATGGTAAGAAGATTGTTCTGGTAATTAAACAAGCACTGGTATTATTATTGTTAGTGCCAAGATTGCTGTTATTTTAAATGATTATCCCAACGGGGAATTTTTCTGGGAATTGAAAATCCAGGCCGCTGCGACTCACAAGCGCCATCTGGCGGCGGATGCAGACCATGCCGCTCACCGTCCCACCCCTCGCCCGCAGGTGTCACCTCCCGTCGCCCCGACCTCGCCATGCGGACCCCGCGAGTGCCCCCTCCCCTCCTGGCTCTATTGCTCCTGCTGCTGCTACTGGGGGGAGCCCACGGACTTTTCCCGGAGGAGCCGCCACCGCTTAGCGTGGCCCCCAGGGACTGTAAGTGGAGATCCTGAGGGAGGGGGCGTCCAGAGGGAGGGTCTTGTTCACCAGCTGAGCCTGCTTTCCCCCCACGCCCCAGGGACTCACTAGGCCAGGCTTACCCTGGCCCTGAATCACACTCCTCTCTTCCCCTTCCCTCAGACCTGAACCACTATCCCGTGTTCGTGGGCAGTGGGCCAGGACGCCTGACCCCGGCAGAGGGCACCGAGGACCTCAACATCCAGCGGATCCTGCGGGTCAACAGGACGCTGTTCATTGGGGACAGGTATGGGGTGTGTCTGGCAGAGTGTGCAGAGGGTAGGGAGCAGGTGGAAGCTTTCAGGGGAGTTTTCATGATGGGGCCTACTGTTTGGCTGGAATGTGAATGTGTGTACCTGGGGTGGGACTTTTAAGGGTGCTGAACTCTGGGTGTGGTTGGAGCTGGGTGCCTGCTATGGTGTGTTAGCAGATGGGGACACTGGTCAGAATTCACTGGGTGACTACAGAGGGTGCTGAGGAGGTGACATTTGATTTGAAACCTAAATGGTGAGGAGTCAGCCGTGAGGAAATTTAGAGGAGGGGGAGACATCCATGCAGAGGACACAGCATGTGCAAAGGCCAGGAGTATACCTGGCAGTTAGAACAACGGGGAAGCCTGCACAGCTGGAGCAGAGTGAGTGAGGGGAGAGGGAGGAGGTGAGGGTAGGGAGGAGACAAAGGCAGGTCTCCCGGCCTCCTGGCTTGAAGGGAAGACTTGGAGTTTTACCTGGAGAGATGTGGGAGCCCTGGAGGGCTGTAGGTAAAGGGAGGGAACTGATTTAGGTGCTCACAGTCAGCTTCTGGTGGCTTCTTTGGGGAGGACAGACTGTGGGTGGGGGCAAGTTGGAGGAGCCTGAGCTGGTCCAGATGGGAGACGATGGGGCTGGAAGAGGGCGGTGGCCATGGAGAGGGTGAGAAGTCAGTGAATTCTCAATAGACATTAAAGGCAAAAGAGACAGCTGATGTGTTGGATGTGGGAGGGGAGGAGAAAAGGGGAGTCGAGGGTGACTTCCAAGTTATGGTCTGCACCCCTAGAAGGACAGAGGAAGGTCAGAGTTGGAAGACAGAGGGAGGAGGGGTAGCAAGTTTGCGGGAACAGTTGGGCTCAGAATGACCACATTGAATGTGAAATGCCTGTGAGACCTCCACCTGGCAATGTTGAAGAGCAGCTGGGCCCCCGAATCTGGAACTCAGAGGAGGCCCAAGCTGGAGACAGGACTGGGCATTGTCATGAGGGGCCACCCAGGAGGGGTGTGGGTAGGGGAGAGAAGAGGCTAGAGAGAGTCTGAAAGGTAAGAGGGAAGCCTGGTGAGTTTGGGGGCGGGGCCCTTGTGAGAACTGAGTTCCCAGGAACCTGCAAATCAGACACTGTAGAGAGGGGGAGGAGGACAGAGAAGTGACTGCTGTACTTCATACCAGTTGGGCAATGACCTTGGCCAGGGCAGGTTTCCGTGCCATGAGGGGAAGAGGGTGAGCCTGGAGTAGACAGGTGCTGAGTGAGGCAGTGGTGTAAAGGTATTGGACCATTCATCATTGTGCGTGTAGCCCCCAGGCTGTTGGGTGTGTAAGCCGGAGGTGGCGTGTTAAAGTATAAGGGTGTGCTAGGACTTATGAGTCTTTTTAGAGCATGAGGACATGTGTTAGGGCATGTGCAAGCATGTGAGGCCATGTTCAGTGTTGGAGTTGCTCTTGGCAGAGGCGTTGTAATGCCCCTAAATGTTATGTGTTGGAGACCATGCCTGCCACCAGGGAGATGGAACGTGGGGAGGGTGAAGCCCCCCAATCTCACCGTCTGCACTCCTCCCTCAGGGACAACCTGTACCGGGTAGAACTGGAACCTCCCACCTCCATGGAGCTTCGGTACCAGAGGGTGAGGAGGGGGAGCAGGTGTGAGGGGAAGGGACAAGCCTTGAGGCTCCCACCATAGGGAGTTGGCATTGCTGTGGGGTGCAAGGTGGATTCGGGCCTACCTGGCGGGGATTCCTAGGGCTGTTGGAGACCCCTTACCCCTCACCAGCTTCCTGTGCCCACAGAAGCTTACCTGGCGCTCCAACCCCAGCGACATCAACGTGTGTCGGATGAAGGGCAAGCAGGAGGTGAGTGGGCCCTGATCACTCCCCCAATCAGCCACGCCCACGTGCAAGCCACGCCCCAACTCAGCCTAGCCCCACCCAAGGCAAAATCCCCCTTCATCCCAGGCCTTGGCGATGCCCAGAGCTTGGCCACGACCCCCAAATGGTCCTCAGTCATGGCCACGTCCGTAGACCAGGTCTTCCCATAGCCCCACCCCTTCAATGGCAGATGAAAAGTAGGTGTTTCCCAGTTCTGGCCCCTCCTTTAGTCATGGCCATGCCCCGACCCTGTCCTATTTTAGCTGTGACCACGCCCCTGATGTGGTCCCAGACTTAGACACGCCCACATCCCTGCCCCTCCCTGTTAAGTCCTCACTTCAGTTCTAGCTCTCCCTCTGCCCTAGCCACGCCCACACACATGACCACGCCCACTTTGGTTTCTCTTCCCTACCCAACCCAGGGCGAGTGTCGAAACTTTGTTAAGGTGCTGCTACTTCGGGATGAATCCACCCTCTTTGTGTGTGGTTCCAATGCCTTCAACCCTGTGTGCGCCAACTACAGTGTGAGTCTCTTACCTTTGAAGTCCTGGCCACCCAGGTCCAATTTACGGAACTTTGGTCACCTGCTCTCCACTAGCTGTGCCCTTTCCCCAGCCCACATAACCTCCTACAGGAAGCCTTACTGGACATGTCCTCCTGGCCTCCTCACCCAGAGCTCAAGAGGAAGCATCCAAAGGAGGCTGTATGGGATGGGGTTAGGAAGCCCTAGTTACTTCACCTGTGACCCAGTAACAGAATTACCTAGAATCAACTCTTAGACTCATTTAGAGATCAACAGACTGAGCCCCAGAGAGAGTTAAGTGATCAAGTCACTTGGCATCCAAGATAAACAGGATTCCCCTTGGAGTGGGGTTATGGGGAAGCCAGGGGGCTGCCAGGCGTGGCCAGGAGCTATGTCACTCAGGCCCTGTCCCCCTGCAGATAGACACACTACAGCCTCTGGGGGACAACATCAGTGGCATGGCCCGCTGTCCATATGACCCCAAACATGCCAACGTCGCCCTCTTCTCTGGTGAGTGCCCCCCCAACTCTGACCATCTGATGGGGATACAGCCCCAAGCAAGGCATGGCATTTTCCACTCTTGGAGTTGGGGTCATTTTGAAGGTGGCTGGGAGGCTGTCTGTTGAACTGTAAAACAGGCAGCATCTCAGTCTGGGGTCAGGGCTCAGTGGGAGTTGGGGTTCAGCTGGGCTCAGGGCCTCAGCAGGGTTGGGACTCAGCCTGGGCTCAAGGTTTAGATGGGGTCAGGGCTCAGCCTAGAGAAAGGACCTCACTTGGGCTCAGTGAGGTAGACTGAGTCTCGGAAGATGGAGTACTGACCTACACAGCCTCGGAGGTTGGGCTCCGAGACCCAACCTCACCTGCTTTCCCCCATCACTCCCATTCAGAAGGAATGCTCTTCACAGCTACCGTCACCGACTTCCTAGCTATTGACGCTGTCATCTACCGCAGCCTTGGAGACCGGCCCACACTGCGCACCGTAAAACACGACTCCAAGTGGTTTAAAGGTGGGATGGACATTCATTGAATCCCCCCACCGTCCCACCAGAATAAGAGTCCCAGAAGAGACAGGGAGGGGACTCCCATCTCATCTTTGGAACCTACTGGCCTTTTTTAAAGATAAAGCTAGAGGGAAGAGTGGCCCTGGGTGGGTAGTTCATTGGTTAGAGCATTGTCCCTATACGCCAAGGTTGTGGTTTTCATCCCCCATCAGGGCACATGCAAGAATCAACTGAATGCATAAATAAGTGGAACAATCTATTGGAATTTCTCTCTCTCTCTCTCTCTCTCTCTCCCTCCCTCTCTCAGTCTCTTTCTCTCCCTCCCTCTCTTCTTCCCTCCCTTCCTTCTCTCTCTCTAAAATGAAATTTAAAAGCTGGAGAAAAGATAGAAGTTGGATCTAAAGTAGAACTTGGAGGGAATGGGTGACTTGGAAGCCCAAAGTGCAACCACTGGAGGGGTATAGCAGGACCCCAGCTCTTTAACACATGAGCGAGATGGGGACAAAAATAGTAGATGTTGTTTGTGGAGAGTAGACACCTGATTTTAGGATTCTGACACTCACCCCTCGCCTCAGAATCCCAAAACTTTGAGCCTATTTTCTTTTGCCTGGGTATGTGATGTCCCCCCTTCACCATAAAAGCAGCCACGCAGCCTGATGTGTTCCCAGCTCCAGACGCACCTTTCTCATGTCGGGCTGGGTTCTGACCCCTCCTCTCCCACAGAGCCCTACTTTGTGCATGCAGTGGAGTGGGGCAGCCACATCTACTTCTTCTTCCGGGAGATCGCGATGGAATTTAACTACCTGGAGAAGGTAAAGCCCTGTTTCCCCTCCCAGAGCGGCCCAGGCGGGGGGGCATGGAGCTGAGAGGCATCCATTCATCCACACATCCATCTGTTCATTATCTCCTTCAAATCATTCATGTATCCACCCACCCACTCATTCTTCCATCCTCTACCTACCTATCCATTGCAGCAGCCAGACAGTTAAGTGCAGAGACACATATTTACCACTCATGTGATCTTGGGCTGGTCACTTCCTTTTCTCTGTGCCTCAGTTTCTCCATCTACACAATGGGGATACCAGCAGGCCCTCCTTTACAGAGCTTTGGGAGGAAAGTAAGAGATGATGAGAATAAAGTGCCAGGTGCACAGTGGATGGTCTGTAAGTGTATATGACTGTGATTACGACTGTCGCATTGCTGTGATCCTCCCTGTCATCCTCACATTTCCACTGGGGAATCTGGTGCCCAGAGGGGTACAGTGACCGGCCTGGACCCTGCAATGAGCCTGGCCCAGGCTCCCCATCCCAGCCTGGGTGGTGGGCAGTGTGGCCTTCGGAACACAGGGCTCAGGCTCCGTCTGTCCACTGTCATGCCAGGTGGTGGTGTCCCGCGTGGCCCGGGTGTGCAAGAATGATGTGGGGGGCTCCCCTCGCGTGCTGGAGAAGCAGTGGACATCCTTCCTGAAGGCGCGGCTCAACTGCTCTGTGCCTGGGGACTCCCACTTCTACTTCAATGTGCTGCAGGCTGTCACGGGGGTAGTCAGCCTGGGGGGCCGGCCCATGGTCCTGGCCATTTTCTCCACCCCTAGCAACAGGTCAGTGGGAGTTGACGGGACTGAACTGGGAGCACCAGGTGGGCATACGTGGAGAAGCCCCACATTCACTCGTCTATTCCCCGGGTCTTGGGCTGGGCAAGACTGGGCCCCCAGGAGGCCTCGGCCCCAGACTGCAGTAGGACAAAGCCACATTGACCCTCCAGGATCCTTTGGTCAGAACTGGGCAGATGGGGGACATCAGTACCCACTGTCTTTGAAGGAGGGGGTCAGAGAGAGCTACCTGGAGGAGGGGGCATTGGAACCAGGCTTCAGTGGGTGTGAGATAGAAGAAAAGGGAAGAGCATTCCAAGTTGAAGGAACAGCATGTGCCAACCCGTGAGGCTACAATGAACTTGGTGTGTTTAAACAGTCGGGAGGAACCCATGTGGCTGGAATGGAGGGAGCAAAGGGGAGAGTGGACAGTACAAGGGCAGGGAGGTGACAGGCTGCAGGGAGGAGCCTGAGTTTTATCCTAGGAGTACTAGGGAGCTATGGGAGAGTGAGGAGCAGAAGAAGGAATGGGTTGTAAGGGGCAAGAGTGGTGTCTGGGAGACTGAACATTCAGGCAAGCAACAGTGGAGGCCAGGACAGGGGTGCTTGTGGAGGAGCTGAAATAGGATCCCGTCTGAGCCCTGTTCAGGAAGCAGAGTGACCAGAGGGGGCAGGTGGGTGACATCTCTGGCCCAGAGAACCAAGCATCTGACAGCTCTGGAGGACAAGGACTTCTCCACACTTGCCTGAGACGGGGTCCTGCTCACTGCTCCCTTTCATCTAACCTCCCCAGCATCCCTGGCTCCGCAGTCTGCGCCTTTGACATGACACAGGTGGCTGCCGTGTTTGAAGGCCGCTTCCGTGAGCAGAAGTCCCCTGAGTCCATTTGGACACCTGTGCCAGAGGATCAGGTGCCACGGCCCCGGTGAGAGCCCCCTCCATCCTGAGACAGGTGCCTCGGTTGGGTCCTGTTCCCACAGCTGAAGGCCAGGGACTCCCAGCCTGTTATTCAGCTGTTGCCGAGTTCAGCTGTACCCATTACACAGATGAGGGAAGCTGAGGCCCTTGGAGCAGGGTAGTGGGTCCCATGGAGAATCAGAGCCCCTATATGGGGACCCGCAAACTGCCTGACCACCCCTTCATTCCCACCCAGGCCTGGGTGCTGTGCAGCTCCCGGCATGCAGTACAACGCCTCTAGCGCCTTCCCTGATGAGATCCTCAGCTTTGTCAAGACCCACCCCCTGATGGACGAGGCAGTGCCCTCACTGGGCCATGCGCCCTGGATAGTGCGGACTCTGACACGGTCAGTTCCCACATGTGGCTGAGGTCCTAGTGGGGCAGAGGGTGCAGATGAAAGCCCAGGGCAGGGTGGTGGGTAGGGAGGGGGGCGGGGCTGACTGTGGAATGAGGGGAGGATGGAGAGCAGTATTGCTAGAGACAGTATGCAGCTCTGAGGACTGACCAGGGAGGGCACAGAGGGATGGAGAGACAGACAGACAGACAGGGAGACAGAGAGAGACACAGAGAAGGAGACAGACACACAGAGAGAGACACAGAGACACAGATATACATACAGGGAGACAGAGACAGAGAGACACAGGAGACAGACACAGAGAGGGAGAGAGACACACAGAAAGAGACAGGGAGATACAGGGAGACAGAGACACAGAGATATAGAGAGGGAGAGAGAGACACAAAAGGAGACAGAGACACAGAGAGGGAGACAGACACACAGAAAGTCTGAGAAGTTCAGGGAGAGAGAGACAGGCCCAAGTGAGAGCCCAGTTTGGGGTTCTGTTTTCTAGAGGAGGGTGATGTATACTCATGTAGCCACACATGTGCCCACCTTGCTTAGTATGGGTGGTGTCTCTGTATCTGTCTGGTGAAGGTGGACCAAAAGGGCTGTGGGGCCAGACTGACCCCTCCTGCCCTGGCCACAGGCACCAGCTGACTCGAGTGGCTGTGGATGTGGGCGCCGGCCCCTGGGGCAACCAGACTGTCGTCTTCCTGGGCTCTGAGGCAGGCACCATCCTCAAGTTCCTCGTCTGGCCCAACGCCAGTGCCTTGGGCACCTCTGGGCCCAGTGTCTTCCTTGAGGAGTTCGAGACCTACCGGCCAGACAGGTGGGGCCAGCAGAGGTCAGGAGGTTGGGCCAGTGGACGGGGAGATGGGGCACAACCCTTGAGTCTTACTGATCTCACCCCCAGGTGTGGACGGTCTGGTGGCAGTGAAACAGGGCAACGGCTGCTGAGCCTGGAGTTGGATGTGACCTCAGGAGGCCTGCTGGCAGCCTTCCCCCACTGTGTGGTCCGTGTGCCTGTGGCCCGCTGCCAGCAGTACTCAGGGTGCATGAAGTGAGTGCCCCCTGGGCCCACGGCTGGGGGGGTGTCGGGGGAATTGAGGGGAGATGAGCATGGAATGAGGGGAAGAGCTGAGTTTGAGTTAAGGGCCCATCCTGACTTGTTGAAAGATGCGTGGGGCAGAGGGCACAGCATGTGCAAAGGCCCTGGAACAGGACCATGTCTGAGGTTTTAGAAGTATAGTGAGGAGGCCCATGTGGCTGGAGAGGTGTCAGTGAAGGAGGAGGAGAGGGCAGGGAGAGGTTGGGGGCAGGTCATGCAGGGCCTTGTGGGCCATCGGGGAGACCTGGGCTTTTACCCCAAGGAAGGTAGGTGCCCTAGAGGACTCTGGGCAAAGCAGGAGTGGGACCTGAGTGACATGTTTAAGAGCAGCAGGAGCAGAAGCTGAGGACCAGGGAGGTGGCTGTTTCCCTACCTCTAAAATGGGTGGAAAGTCAGATGCAAAGCACTGGCACTCCTGAGCTGTATGAGCCCTCCACAGAGGACCATGCCCGTCCCCACCGTCCTGGCAGCAGAGATCCATTGCACAGGGCTGGGACACAGACCCTGGGCAGGCCCCCTGGGCTCCACTCCTGCTCTGCTGCTCAGGCAAAAGTGAACTTCCCCGAGCCTCAGTCTTCTTATCTGTAAAATGGAGACTGAATAGCCTGCACCGCAGAGATGTGTGGCCAAGACTCCCGAGCTGACACTAGGAGGCACTGTGCAGGCTGTGGTTGATGGATCTTCCGGTCCCTTTGCTCTAGGAACTGCATTGGCAGTCAGGACCCCTACTGCGGGTGGGCCCCTGATGGTTCCTGTATCTTCCTCAGCCCTGGCACCAGGTACTGGGGAAGGGGAGGGTGGAGGAGGTGTCTGACCTGCCTGATGATCGGGGCTCCCCCTGCCCCCCTCAGTCTCTATGAGAGGGGCTTCTGCTGACTGTGTCTGTCTTACCCCCATTAGGGCCACCTTTGAGCAGGACGTGTCCGGGGCTAGCACCTCAGGCTTAGGGGACTGCACAGGTAAGTGGGGGGAAGGGAGGAGACCTGGGGACCCTCCCCTGGGGTTCTCATGTCCTTTGCAGCACATGTCCAGATGGGTGAGGGGAGGGGACTAGCTTTGGAAGGGCAGGGGGGTCCATTTCCAGGTAGGGAGATAGTTGAGAGACTAAGAAAGGCCAAGAGACAGACAGATGGACAAACTGGGGACAAACAGATGCCAGGGACAGACAGATGTATGGACAGGCTTTGAAATAGAGATAATGAGAGACAGATGCTGGAGACAGATGCCAAGAACAAATGGACAGAGAGGCTTTAAGGTGACAGAGATCACAGGACAGACAGATGAACAGACTTAGAGGACAAACCCCAGAGAAACAGAGATGCTAAGAGACAGGCTTTGGAAGGAACAAGAGACATCACGGGAAGACAAACAGACTTCGAGAGGACAGACAGATGGGCAGACAAGCCTAAGGTGGCCAGAGGTGTGGACACTGCTGTCCCCCAGCTGGCCCCTCTCACACAGCCCTCTTGGCCAGGACTCCTGCGGGCCAGCCTCTCGGAGGAACGCGCCGGGCTGGTATCAGTGAACCTACTGGTGACATCGTCAGTGGCAGCTTTTGTGGTGGGTGCTGTGGTGTCGGGCTTCAGCGTGGGCTGGTACGTGGGCCTCCGTGAGCGGCGAGAGCTGGCCCGCCGCAAGGACAAGGAGGCCATCCTGGGCCACGGGGGCAGCGAGGCCGTGCTGAGCGTGAGCCGGCTGGGCGAGCGCCGGGCAGGTGGCCCTGGCGGCCGGGGCGGGGGTGGTGGTGGAGCTGGGGGACCCCCTGAGGCCCTGCTGGCCCCCTTAATGCAGAATGGGTGGGCCAAGGCCACACTGCTGCAGGGTGGCCCCCATGACCTGGACTCAGGGCTGCTACCCACGCCGGAGCAGACGCCACTGCCCCAGAAGCGCCTGCCCACCCCGCACCCCCACACTCTGGGTCCCCGCGCCTGGGAGCACAGCCACCCCCTGCTCCCCGCCTCGGCCTCCTCCTCCCTGCTGCTGCTGGCCCCCGCCAGGCCCCCGGAGCAGCTGCCCGCGCCCGGCCGGGCCTCCCACGGCGACTTCCCGCTCACGCCCCACGCCAGCCCGGACCGCCGGCGGGTGGTGTCAGCGCCCACGGGCCCCTTGGACCCAAACACAGCCTCTGACAGCCTCCCGCGGCCCTGGAGCCCCCCGCCCACGGGCAGCCTTCGGAGGCCCGGCCCGCACGCGCCAGCGGCCGCCGCCCTGCGCCGCACGCACACGTTCAACAGCGGCGAGGGCCGGCCGGGCGAGCACCACCGCGGCCGCCACAGCCGGCCCAGCACGGACTTGGCCCACCTCCTCGCTTATGGCGGGACAGACAGGACTGCACCCCCTGTGCCCTAGGCTGGGGTCCCCAGATGCCTCGGCTGCGCCAGCCACCGGAACAGGAGCGAAAGATCCGGCTTAACTCCGAGTGGGTGCTCAAGACCCCCACCCCGGTGCACGGGAGGAGGGCCTCCCCACACGGAAGCACAACGGCTCGGCCTCCCACCTGACCGGCCGCGGGACAGGAGGCGGTTTTGGGGGGGCGGGAGGATGTGCTATGGATTTGAGGTTGACCTTCTGTGCGTGGGTTTGGGTTTGTTTCCAATTTACGATTTTTTTTTTTTTTTTTTGCAGTTTTCTACCCAATTGCACAACTCCGTTCTTGGGGTGGTGGCTGAGGGCTTGGAGGTGGTGGGATGAGGAGGGGGCCACAGCTGCAGACCCAAGTGCCCCCCCTCCAGGTCCCTCCTTGACCTAGGCTCCTGGCGTGTGTGAGTGTGTGTGTGTGTGCATGCAATGTTCGTGTGCAAGGGGCCGGGAAGGAGAGGGAGGTGTGCGTGTGGATGCCCACAAGGGCTGCTGCCTGCGTGTGCCGGGGGGTGGGCACTCATGCAGGGTGCGTGTCTGTGTGTGAGTGCGGCAGCCCCAGCGGCCTGGGCGTTGGCTGAGCCAACACAGGGGCTTCCAGAAGGCCAGGGGGGCCTACAAGGTGCCGGTTAGGAATTTGAGGGGAGACAGATAGGAGGCTTCAGGGAGAGGGGCTAAGAGGGCCTGCCCATAAGTCACACTGGCAACAGCTTTGTAAAAGCCTGGGAGACAGCAAAGGTGGGTGGGCCCCCCTGTAAATATGGCCCTAGGGTGGTCAGAGGGTCCCACACCACCTGTCCCCTTGTGACCGTCCCTTTGATCTCCAGCTGACCATGCATGCCAGCTGAGTGGCCAGCTGAGACCTGGACCCTCTCTGGAATTTGCCTCCCCAAACCCCTCCCCATCAATAAAACTGTTTACAACCACCGGCCCCCAAGGCTCTGGGTCTGCTCTGTCTCCCAGGGGTGGGACCTGGGCAGTGGCATGGCCCCGCACAGTTGCAAGATCACGGCTGGGTCACAGCAGCCAACAGAACTCTGGGGCACTGATTGTGGGAATGCAGAGAATTGGAGGGGGGTCTCTGTCTTCATATGGATGGGGGCTAGTTTCTGATTGGTCCTTCAGCAAATATTGTGCATCTACTATGTGCCAGGCACTGGGGACAAAGACCCCCCTGTCCTCATGGAGCTCACAGCTTAGTGGGAGATTGACCACTTACTAGTAAATTAGGACTTGATTTGAAGTAGTCATATGTGTAATGAAATAAAAGCCAGATAATGTGCTAGGTAGAGGTTACTGGGGGAGGGGAGAAGGGGTGGTCAAGGAGGTAACATTTGAGCTGAGACAGGTGAGAAGGGACAGCCCTGGGGAGATGTGCAGATAGAGCCTTCCAGGCAGAGGGAAGAGCCAGTGCAAAGGCCCTGAGGTGGGAATTCACTTGGAGGAATAGGGAGGCAGCCAGTGTAGCTGGAGCAGTCGGTGAAGGAAGATCAGGTGGAGATGAAGAGGGAGAGGAGCATAGGGCCCCAAGTTGGCAGGGCCTCACAGGTGAGGAGTACATTTTTTAAACTGTGGTAAAATATGCATAAATGCACATAAATTCAAATGTGCCATTTGAGCCTTTTTAAAGTGTTCAGTTCAGTGGCATGAAGCCCATTTACACTGTTGGACAAGCCCCACCATCCATCTCCAGCACTTTCTCATCTTCCCAAACTAAAACTTCATCCTCATTAAATACTAACTCCTCATCCCACACCCATTTGCACAGCCTTATGAATTTTATTTCATTAAACAATTTATTTATTGATTGATTTTAGAGAGAGAGGGAGAGAGAGAAACATCAATGAGAGATAACATCGATTGGCTGCCTCCTGCATGCCCCCCACTGGGTATCAGACCCACAACCTGGGCATGTGCCCTGACCGGGAATCGAACCTGCAACCTCTTGGTGCATGGGTTGATGCTCAACCACTGAGCCACACTGGCCGGGCAACAGCCTTATGAATTTTATTTTAAGTTGGACAGGAAGCCACCAGAGGGTTTTAAGCAGGGAATATGATCTGATTTCATTTTAAGATATCACTTTAGTGTTATATCATTATAGTTCACAATCCTTCCTTCCAGCCCATGTCAATTAAGCATCTACTGTGTTAACAAGACAGATTCTGTTTCCTCTGGTCACGAAGGAAACTGATAATAAACAAAGAATTCACAAAATATTATGACAGCATCTAACAGCTCCTCCTGAATCTGTGTGTGTCTGTTTTTTTCACCTTGAGATATAATTGACATATAACATTGTGTATGTTTCAGGTGCACAATTTGATGGTTTGATATACATGTATATTGCAAGATGATCACCTCTATAAGATTAACATATCCATTAACTCACACAGTTACCTTTTAGGATATGATCAGAACATTTAATATCTACTCTCTTAGCAACTTTCAAATATACAGTAGTTTTATCAACTGTAGTCACCATGCTGTACATTAGATCCTCAGAACTTACTCATAATTGCCAGTTTGTATCCTTAGACCAACATCTCCTTATTACCACCCCCCCAGCCCCTGGCAAAAACCATTCTATCGGTTTCTACAAGTTTATTCTTTTTATTTTATTTATTTATTTTATTTATTTATTTATGTTTATCCTCACCCGAGGACTTTTTTTTTTTTTTTCATTTATCTTCAGATAGAGCAGGAGAGAGAGGGAGGAAGAGAGAGAGAGAGAAACATCAATGTGGGAGAGACACATCGACTGGCTGCCACCCACACGACCCCAACGGGGGTGAGGACAAACGGCAACTGAGGTACATGCCCCTAGCGGGAACCGAACCCAGGTCTCTGGTCCACAGGCCGATGCTCTAACCGCTGAGCCAAACCGGCCAGGGCAATTTTATTTTTTTCTTTATTGATTTTAGAAAGAGAGAAAGGGAGAGGGAGAGAGAGAAACATCGATGAGAGAGAACATTGATTGGCAGCCTCCTGCATGCCTCCCACTGGGGATTTGGCCCACAACCTGGGCATGTGCCCTGACTGGGAATTGAACTGGTGACCTCTTGGTGCATGGGTCAACACTCAACCACTGAGCCACACCAGCAGGGCAAGTTTATTCTTTTTAGATTCCACATATAAGTGAGATCACATAGTATTTGTCTTTCTCTGTCTGACTTATTTCACTTAGCATAGTGCCCTGAAGTTTCATCCATGTTGTTGCAAATGGCATGCGTTTCATTTTATGGCTGAGTGATATTCCTCTGTGTGTGTGTGTGTGTGTGTGTGAGAGAGAGAGAGAGAGAGAGAGAGAGAGAGAGAGATTAATGCTGCAGTAACTATGGAGGAGCAGATGTCTAAAGATAGTGATTTCATTTACTTCGGATGGTATGGCAGCTCCATCTTTAATTTTCTGAGGAACCCCCATATTGTTCTCCACAGTGGCTGCAGCAATTTACATCCTCAACAGTGCACAGGGTTCCCTTTTCTCTACATCCTCTCCAACACTTGTTATTTCTTGTCTTGTTGATAATAGCCATTCCAACAGGTGTAAGGTGATAGCTCATGGTGGTTTTTTTTTATCCTCACCAGTGGACATTTTTCCATTTTTTTGTTCAGAGAAAGCAGGAAGGAGAAAGGGAGGAAGAGAGAGAGAGAGAGAGAAACATTGATGTGAGACGCATCGAGTGGCTGCCTCTCACATGACCCCAACCAGGGCCGGGGAGAAACTGCAACAGAAGTACGTGCCCTTAGCGGGAACCAAACCCTGATCTCTCCAGACCACAGGCTGATGCTCTAACTGCTAAGCCAAATCGGCCAGGGCTCATGGTGGTTTTGATTTGCATTTCCCTGCTGATTGGTGATGTTGAGCCTCTTTTCATATATCTGTTGGCCATTTGTATGTCTTCTTTAGAAAAATATTTATTCAGGTCCTTTGCCCCTTTTGGTGTGTGTCTTTTTTATGTGGCTGTTGCTGTAGGTCTGCCATTCTGTCCTGTGTGTTCTGCTCTGTCGGTGTCTCTGTTAGGTTCTGTCTATGTATGCTTGCCTTCTCTGGGTCAGTATCTATGTCTGTGGATTCATTTGTGTCTACCTGTCATTCTTTATCTGTACCTGTCACTGTCAGCCTGCATGATTGTCTCTGACTGAGCCTGTGTGCTCACTAAGACAGAACTCAGTCATTCTCACAGCTGAACAGGGAAAAACCCTTCAGAGATGGGACAGGAAGAAAAGGCCATAGCCAGGTGTGACAGATAAAAATAACAAAACACACCTGAATTTTCACTTTTTATTTTTTTAATCCTTACCCGAGGATACTTTTTTTCCCGTTTATCTTCAGATAGAGTGGGAGAGAGAGAGAAACATCAATGCAAGAGAACCATCAACTGGCTGCCTCCTGCACGACCCCAACCAGGGCAGGGGACAAACTGCAACCAACGTATGTGCCCTTGACCAAAATTGAGCCTGTGACTCTTTGGTATGTGGGTGAACACTCTAACTGCTGAGCCAAACTGGCCAGGGCCACACCTGAATTTTTAGAACTTGACCAGAATGAAAGTCCCGAATAGCCAAATCCATGAGATGCAGCCAAAACCATTTTTAAAGGGCAATGTGTAGCTTCTGAATGCATTCATTAGTAAACAAATGATCCAAAACAAATAGTGCATCCACTTAGGATGAAGAAAGAAAAAGCAACACCTGAAACCTATATAATTTTACTAAACCAATGTGATCCCAATAAATTCAGTTTTTTTAAAAAGCACCTGGCTGACATGGCTCGGGTTGAGCATCGACCTATACACTAGGAGTTCTTTGGTTCGATTCCTGCTCAGGGCACATGCCCGGGTTGCCGGCTCGATCCCCTTATAGAGGGTGTGCAGGAAGCAGCCAATCGATGTTTCCCTCATCATCGATGTCTCTTTCTCTCTCTCCCTCTCCCTTCCTCTTTCTGAAATCAATAAAAACATTTTTAAAAAAAAAAAAAAGATCAGATGTGGCTTTTGGACATTGAATTCAACTTCACAGATGGGGAGACAGAGGCCAAGAAAAGTTAAGCTACTTGCCCAGTCACAAAGCATAGCAGTCCTAGCACAGCTTGAATTCAGAAATAGATTTCGTCTCTCCCAGCTCATTGTTCAAAGACTGCGAAGAATTCTGGCATCACTCGCGTTTAAACTCTATTTTTAAAAAATTATTTCAATAAAAATATATCCAACAACATGTCATAAATTCAAGAAGTGTTTTTTGTTCTCTTCACTGCACTTCCTGGTTGGTCAGATGAGTCATAAACAATACCTCTTGCTCAAATACCTGTCCCCATCCTCCAGGACCGGCACCTTGCAAGCCTGACCCAAGCTTGATTCTGGGATTAGGCCGGGAGAGTGGGGACTCAGCTCCAGAGACTCTTGGTGCCCTCTTCCCAGTAGCAGAAATCAGGGGAAGGAAAACTGGGCAGAAGGGAGGACTAAAGGGGTGAGCAGCCCCTCTGCTGTCCTCCCCCTGCCAGGAAACAATTTTGCAATCCTGACCCCTCCCTTTCCCATGCCTGGCTCAGGTTCAGCCCCTATCAGGAACAGGATGTGGGTGGGGACTTCCCTGTGGTTGGTGCCCCTTCCTCTAGCCCAAGCAGGTGTAAGGCCAACTCACCAGACCAAAGGAATCTAGATGGAAAAGAGAGAGGCCACCATGTCCTCTTGGAGCCCAGAGCGAAACCAGAGGTAAGTCCCCACCCTGCTGTTCCTGGGCAGGCTTAGACAACAGGCAGCGCATGGACATTCCGTCTGACCGCTGAGATCACAGGGCCGACTAGGCCTACTGGCTGGAACAGACCAACACTAGGCTCTAACTAGACCAGCTTGCTCCCATACACACACTTACCTGCAGACGCCCCAGGCAGGGAGTGGGAGCCCATCCCCCGACATCAGAGGTCTGCTGGAAGTGGACGGGAAGGAACAGAAGCCCCAGCCCTCCAAGGGTTACAGTGCCAACTGTAAATCTCCCAATCTCAAGGCCAGATGCCCGCCCCAGACCTGCTTTGGGCACTTCCCATGTTCAGAGTCCTGTTTGCTCCTGGAGCTCTGGTTTGTACCCAAGTGCTTGAAGCAAGGTGGAGCTGGACACAGATAATGTAACCTGGTTTAGTCAGGGCCGGACAGAAAGAGCAGGAGCACAGAGGGGGAAACTGAGAGTTCTACTTGGGAAAGTCAGAGAAAGCTTCATGAGAAAGGGGGTATTGGAGTTGGGGGCTTTGCAGGATGGGTAGGAGTTCACTGGCTCTTCCTTTAAAACAGGAAGAGGAGGAGGAGGAGGTGACTGCACTAGTCCAGAGGCGCATTGAGGAGGCATGGTTCTGGGGGGTGAAAGTGGATGGAAAGAAGTGGGCATATTCTGTGGATATTTTCGCTGAGCTGAGTATATTTTTATTTCGGCTCATAAAACACCTTCTGTCATTGCTTGCAGCCCAAGGGGCCTGGACCCCCATTTTTCTAGAACCCTGTTCCTTCTGCTACTAATTGTGGCCCCCTTAGCCCAAGGGGTCACCCCAGACCCTGAAGCCTGCCAAGTGTTCCAGTCAGACAACGGCAGCTCCATCAACTGCCACCCACCTGCCAAAGTCCCCCAATACTTCCCAGCCGACACCATTTACCTGTCTGTGGAGTTCTTCAACCTCACCCAGCTGCCACCTGACACCCTCCAGGGCATCCCTAACCTCCAGGAACTGCACCTTTCCAGCAATGGGCTGGAGAGCCTCTCAGCCAACTTTCTGTTGCCTGTGCCTCAGCTGAAGGTGCTCGATCTAACCCACAACGCCCTGACCAGGCTGCCCCCAGGCCTCTTCTGGGGCTCAGCCGCCCTCCACACCCTGGTGCTGAAGGAAAACCAGCTGGAAGTCCTGGAAACCTTGTGGCTGCATGGCCTGAAAGCCCTGAGGCATCTGGACCTATCCGGGAACCACCTCCGGACACTGCCCCCCGGGCTGCTGGCCAATTTCACCGACCTACGCATCCTTGACCTTGGCAATAACCAGCTGGAGACTTTGCCCCCTGACCTTCTGAGGGGCCCAGTGAAGTTGGAACGGCTGCATCTGGAGGGCAACAGATTACGAGTACTCGAAGAGGGCCTGCTGGTACCCCAGCCAAACCTGCGCTACCTTTTCCTGAATGACAACCAGCTGACCATGGTGGCGGCCAGCGCCTTCCGAGGTCTGAAGCAGCTGGACATGCTGGACCTCTCCAACAACTCACTGACCAGCGTGCCCAAGGGGCTCTGGACATCCCTGGGGCAGCCTGGGGCAGCCCGGGATATGAAGGATGGTTTTGACATCTCCGGTAACCCCTGGATCTGCGACCAGAACTTGGACGACCTCTATCAGTGGCTTGTGGACAATAAAGACAAGATGTTCTTCCGAAATAACACATGCTGCACTGAGCCTACAGCTATGAAGGGCCAGACACTCCTGGCCGCAGCCATGTCCCATGTGAAGCCTACGGCTGGGGTAGAGATGGGTGGGAACAGCCTGGCAGAACACTGCACCCCACTAGGCAATTAATCCTCTTGTAAGGGTGAGGCAGGCTTTCCATCATTGCCAGACCCATTTTGCCCATGCTTCCCAAAACACCTCTTAGGCTTGCCAACATCCTTGCCTTTGCTCAAGCTGTACCCTCTTCCAGGAGTGCCCGCCCCATTTCCCAGATCTCTGGGAGATCTCTGGTGTCCCAAGTCCCTCAGCTCCCTTTCCCTCTCTCTGGCACAGTCCTGACCACACTGAAGCTGTCTCTATCTGGCTCTGCCTCCCCCAGTTTGGGGGGCTCTTTAAGTACAGGGCCTGGGGCTGAGTTGCCTCTTACTCATCACTCAGTTAAGTGTCGGACCTGAGGAGTTTAATAAATAATTGTCAAGCAGAATTGGACAAATTGGCATTCACTGTATTCCTGCACCTCCCAAGTCAACTTCCTAAGTCTCCAGGATGGACGTAGAAAAAAAGGGTTTGGGGTGCTGGACTTGAAATCCAAAATGGGTGGCAACTGGGATCTAATGGCCCGTTGCTGCTTCTCCTTCTCCCTCCTAGTCTGAGGCTTAACTGGGAATAAAACCCTGACCATTGCCCAGTGTATCATTTTACTGGTGGATTTCTGCCAAAGCTTGTGCCCTGGGGAAGGCTTAAATTAAACCAGATTGCTTCAGGTCTCCAAACAATTTGTCATGCTGGCCAGTGATAACCCAGGGGGCAGCCACCCAGGGCAAGTGTGGGCAGGCTGGATAGGGCTGAACAGATGGGGAAGAAGCCCAGGGGGCTGTGTTCTCACAACTCAGAACCTGGAGCCACCCGCTAACACAATGCTGGGCATAGTGAGGGCCAGGGTCAGATCTGGGGGCCTGGGGATGTTTGGGCCATGATCAGTTTTTTCAGCCCCCTGGAAGGAGTGTCATGCCCACACTAGTGATCATTCCAGGTGTGATGATGAAAAATCCAGGGTCTGGAGCCTGGCAGAGCTAGGTTTAAATCAAATCCCTCAATCACTGTGGGATCCAGGGGTTGAAGCATTCTGAACCTCAGTTTGCTCATCTGTAAAACAGGGATCTGAGGGAATGGGCTGGCCTGGCTCCTAGTTTAGTTAAGTGGCAGATTTTTAAAAATAGAAAGAGCCCTGGCCAGGTAACTCGGTTGGTTAGAGCATCGTCCTAATATGCCAAGGTTGGGGGTTCGATCCCTAGTCGGGGCACATGCAAGAATCAACCAATGAATGCACAGATGAGTGGAATAACAAATCAAAGCCTCTCTTTCTCTCTCTCTTAAATAAATATATATATTTTTAAATAAAAGGACATGAAGGACTTGCCCAAGGTCACTGGGGGAGGAGCTGGGGGCTGTGATCGCCCTCCACTGTCTCCGCGGCAACAGCCGCAAGGGTGACAAATGGCCAAACCTGGCCCACGGAAGTAGCTCAATCCTTGGGCATCCGGCGTCCCCAAGTTGCTTTGGCAACCGCAAAGCGCTCGGGGAGGACCAGGGAACAGTGGGGGTCCCGGAGCCCCGCCCCTAGGACACGCCCCCATACAACCTCTCCCCATTGGCCGGCCCCCGGAGGCTCCGCCTCCCGAGCTACTATAAGGCGGGCGGGGCTGGCAGGGGGCGGAGACTGGAGCGGGAGTCTGGGGTCCGCGGCGGTACCCGGGGCTGAGGCGGCGTGCGGCCAGGTGAGTGTCAGGCGGGTGGAGTCAGGAGCACCCCGTAGGTTCGGCGGCCCCGAATTGGGTGGACAGGCGAAGGTCCAGTGGCGTGGGGAGAGGAGTGGGGTGACAGGCCAGAGCAGGTGGATGAGACCCTTCGCCCAGTTGGCTGAAGCTCAGGACCCAGTTGGGCGGGGACCACAGCTCTGAAGGCCCGGGGTGGGTATGAACAGCAGGCAGGGAGTGTGAGGTCGAACTCCCTACTCTGAGTCAGCTTAAGCTGAGTGACCTTGGGCCCAGCGTGGACCGCTGTGTGCATCCGTTTCCCTGTCAACCTGACTTGGTTTATTGGGATTCTACAGTAACCACCTGCATCTCGGTGGGGGGCTGCTTGTGCAGTTCTGTCCCCAGAAGGGGCCACAGGGACCTCCCCTACTTTGCAGAAGAGGAAACAGCCCAGAGAAGTGAAGGCACTTGCCCAAAGTCACACAGCAGGTAGTGTCAGAATTCAAACCCTGAGCCCATGCTTTGAATCACTACAGGGCCCCCACCGTGCCAGAGGCTCTCTAGTGTGCACCTACTGTGTGTAGAGTCCTGTGCATGCACTGTCTGTGCTCCTCATGACATTCTGAGGTAGGTATCATTTCCTCACTTTTCGGATGAGGAAACTGAGACCCCAAGAAGGAACAAGACTTACTGGAGTTACAGAGGCCAGCCAGCCAGAACCCAGGAGGGAGCTGGGTGGGCTGGCCCCCCTCACTCTGTCCTGCCCCCCAGGGTGATCCTGTTTGCAGCAGGCATGTCAGAAGATGAGGCAGCTCAGGCCCACAGACCCAGCTTGTGTGAGCAGGACCAGCAGGTGAGAGGCTGCACCTCCTATGGAGCAGGACAAGGGGAAGGAGGGGGGAAGTCCCTCCCTGGACAGCTGCAGGCTGGGTACCCCTCCCACCTCTATCTTCGCTACAAGTGCCTCACTCGTAGGATGTTTTGGACCATGGAGGCTGGCATCTCTGCACTTCCTACCCATTTCCCAGAGAGGCACATCGAGGCCCAGGTCGGGGAGCGTTTCTCCAAGCACACCCAGCTGGCTTACCTGGCCTCTGCCCATCTTTCCCTCTCCCACCTCTGGGTCTCCACCTACATCTCCCTGTTTCTGTGTCCACCACCATGGCACTCAACAACAATAGAGTATTCACAGCATCTACTCTGCATCAGTCACTGTTCCAAATGCTTCACATACATTGGCTCCTAGAGGTCCTATCACAGCCCTAGAAACCCTTTGTACAGACGGGGGACCAAGGCACCAAGCAGTTCACTCGCCCAAGCTCTCACAGCTCAGAGGTGGCTGAACCAGAACTGAATGCAGGAAGTTTTGCCCCAGAGGCTGTGTGCCACCACTCTTTCAGGATACACTCTATGTATGCTATTGAGAACAGGAACCTGTGAGCACCTTCATGTGGGTTTCCTCTGCTGGACACTGCCAAGTGCTCAGTACACTTTCCCCAATCCTCGGGCCAACACCTCATTCTGGCCCATAGAGAGGAAATGGGCAAAAGTGTGACTGAGCCTTTCTCCTCCCTGGAGGCCCTTCTGATGCTGTCCCTTCCTACAGAACGTCGTACACCGAGTTGTGGCCCTGCCCCTGGTCAGGGCCACGTGCACTGCTGTCTCTGGTGCATATAGCGCAGCCAAGGATAGACATCCGCTACTGGGTTCTGCCTGCCGCCTGGCCGAACACTGCGTGGGCAGCCTCACCACCAGCGCCCTGGACCATGCCCAGCCACTGCTCAGCCACCTGCAGCCTCAGCGTGAGTCCCCCTGGCCGGAGAGTCCTGTGGTTGCCTCATGGTTCCACCCTCTCACGCTCCATCCACATGGCATGCCCTAGGGTGGACTGCTTGACCTGGGTGTCCCTCCTCAGTCTTACCTACCCTCTGTGCCTTTGGTCTGCCTGCCTGTTCTCCCCGCCAACCTGTGTCATCCTCGTTCAGTGCTTCCACCGGTGCCTTCCCAATCCCTCTGTCTGTCCCACCTCCCCTCTACCTGTTGATGTAACATGTTTTATTGCCCGGCCATCATCTGTCCTCAGAGGTTTACTTGTGGCCCCCTCCTTCTGTCCTCAATCCATCTGTCTTGAAGTCCTTCTCCATTGTTGGTTAGGTTGTTATGCCTTGGGTCCCCTTTGCCTGTCCAACCTCCCCAATCTATCCGTCTCTGCCTTCACCTGTTCTGAGCCCTGTATCTTTCTAGACCTGTGACCAGCTCAGGAGTCCAACCTGACAACCTGATGGGGTTGGGGCAAAAAGACTCTTGACTGAAGAATAGGGTCGCCTGAGGATCTCAGCCTAGGGCCTCCCCGCCTCCTTCTTAGCTAGCCTGAATGACTTTGAGCCTGCTCACTAGGGCATCTGAGCTGAGCATGAGTGTGGAGTCACCTTGGTGCTGGCAGAAGCCTGTGACAGGCAGAGGTGGGGAAAGCAGAGGAGGCAGGGAACAGCCAAATGGCCCACCCATACCCTCAGGGGCTCCTGTCCCTCAGGGAACCAGCCAGGTCACCCCTGCCAGGAAGGCCTTTGGTCTCTCCCTTTCTGTCTCTCTCCCTTCCTCCTTTCTCTCTTTTTCCCCTGCTTCTGCCTTTAGCACTCCCTCCTTCTATGTCCCTCAGTGTCCCTATCTCCCTTGTCATCTCCCAGATTCTCACTCCCTGCCTTTCTTTCTCTCTCTCTCTTTCTCCAGTCGCTACAATGAATGATCTTGCCTGCAGGGGTCTGGACAAGCTGGAGGAGAAGCTACCTTTTCTCCAGCAGCCTTCGGAGATGGTACAGCACCAGACTATGGGGACCTGCAGGGTGGAAGGGGGAGGAAGGAGGGCCGCCTCCTCCCAGACCTGGCCTGAATGCCTCTGCCAGCTGGACTCTGGGACCAAATCAGGCCTTGGTCAACTCAAAAAAAAATCAGCCAGATTAAAATAATCGGCACCCAGCCTTGGGCCGTATGGCCCAGACAGGGCACACACCTGGGTTGCAGGCTCAATCCCTGGTAGAGGGCATGCAGGATGCAGCTGATCAAAGTTCCACTCTCACATCGATGTTTCTCTCTCTCCCCCATCCGTGCCTCTCTCTCTCTAAAAAATCAATAAAAATATTTTTGACAAATCAGCACCCATATTTATCAAGAACTTAATATGTGCCAGTAGTTGCTGGTAATGCCCTCAACCACCCTGTAAGAGAGAAATTTTCTTTTCCTCCAATTTATAGAGGGGAAATTGAGGCCCAGAGCTGGGCAGGGACTAGGGATCCTTGACCCCCAGCCCCAGGGACCAGGGAAGAGAGCCAGAAATGGACAGCACCTGGATCAGGGGTCCCTCCCTCCAGGTCGTGACCTCAGCCAAGGATGCAGTGGCCAGCAGTATGACAGGCGTGGTGGGCCTGGCACGGCAGAGTCGGCGCTGGAGTGTGGAGCTAAAGCGTTCCATGAGCCATGCTGTGGACGTCGTGCTGGGCAAGTCAGAGGAGCTGGTGGACCACTTCCTGCCCATGACCGAGGAGGAACTCTGTGAGGCTGGTGCCCTCCCCACCCCGCCCCTGAATGTTCCTGCCCAGTCCCCATCCCCGGAGGTTACAGATTAGAGAGGTTCAGAACTCACTCAAGGCCACAACAGACCAGCAGGAAAGTGCAGCAGGAGCCCAGCCCTGACCTCCCTTTCTGCTTCCATGGCCCCTAGCCCACATCTACTAGAAACCAGGCCACCCAGATCCCAAGGGCGAAAGTGGCTTAAAGACTCGAGAGGGCCATGGTCTCAAACTGGTAGCCTCCGAATTGTATTATCTGACCTGTACAATGCCTTTAAAATGGTTTAATTCATTGCATGCATTTAACAATTAGATTTTGCCCTACGAATCCCAATTTCTGGCTTGCCTTGAAAAACTGAACACTTGGGTTGAATAATGTCTTAAAGCTCACCTTTCTCCAATGTTCTAATATTGTCTGCTGGCCCTGGAGCCAATCTGACGTCTTAACCCCTGCTTTATGGCACTGGAGGAACATGTTGACGTACTTCCTCCTCAGCAGAAAGGCTGTGAGGCAGTTATGAAGCACCTACTGTGTGCCAGGCACTTGTGATATCTTCTTTAAAAGGCAGTCTATTAGAGTGGTTAAGAATAGTCTAGAGCCCAGCCGGTGTAGCTCAGTGGTTGGACGTGGTCCCGTGCACCAAGAGGTCACTGGTACCATTCCTGGTCAGGGCACATGCCTGGGTTGCTGGCTCTATTCTCAGTAGGGGGTGCGCACGAGGCAGCTGATGGATGTTTTTTCTCATCAGTGTTTCTCTCTCCCTGTTCCTCTCCTTTCCTCTTTCTAAAAATCAATAAAAACATATTTTTTAAAAGTTTAGAGCCAGAGTGCCTAGTTCTGGTTCTGGCATGCTGTGCAACCTCACCGCTCTCTGCCTCAGTTTTCCCCGTCTGTGAAATAGAGCTAATAATAATGCCTACATCATAGGGTTCAAGGAAGACTGAATGAGTTGCCATTGATACAGGGAAACTATAAATCTGGGAGCCCATGGGCTTGTCCACCCAGAAGGAAGGTGAACAGATGTGGAGATGGTGTCCACACTGATCCCCTCTCCCCCATCCTGTCCTGCAGTGGCGCTGGCGGCTGAAGCTGAGGGCCCAGAGGTGGGCTCGGTGGAAGAGCAGAGGAGACATCAGGGCTACTTTGTGCGCCTGGGCTCCCTGTCAGCACGGCTCCGCCACCTGGCATATGAGCACTCTCTGGGGAAACTGAGGCAGAAGAAACATCATGCCCAGGACACACTGGCCCAGCTGCAGGAGACACTGGAGCTGGTGAGAGCCCTGTGTCTGCCCCCCCCCTCCCCATAATGCAGACCAGCAAGCTTGGATTCAATGCCAGCTGAGTACCTGGTCCCGTGCTAGACTGAAGCAGGAGGCAGAACTGGTCTCAGCTGCCTCTAGCTGTGTGTGTTCAGGGCTGGGGAAGAGGGGTGCCTGGGGCTGGGGAAGCTCAGGGGGTGCTAAGACAGCCTGGGGAATAAGGAAGGGGTTTTGTGGAGAAGTAGGAGCTGGAATTTATAGGCAGTTAAGGGAGGTCTGGAAAGGGACCTGTCATCAGTTCCAATTCCCTCCATCCTTTAGGTTCCAGCTCACACCCAGCCTCTTCCCTCATTGTCCATCCCTCCCTGCTCCAAAGGCACATGACCGCTCCTGCTTACTGGGCTAAGTTCAGATGTCCCAATGTGCTTATCCCACATCCTCTCTCCCCATCTCAACTGCCAGCAACTCCATATTCTCAAACCCTCCCACATCCAACATATCAGCCATACTATCAGCTCTGCCCTCAAAGTCTATCCTGAATCTGCCCACATTTCCTCCCTCCTCTTCCTCCATCCACCTGGGTCCAGCCTCCACGCTTGCTCATCTGGTCCCCCAGCTCTCCTCCTAGACCTGTCTGTCCTTCCCACAGCAGCCAACAGAGGGCGCCTGTGAGCACCTGAGTAGGTTTATTTCATGGGCATAATGTCCTCAAGGTTCATCCATTTTGTAGCAACGTCAGAATTTCCTTCCTTTTTATGGCTCAATAGTATTCCACTGTACAGATGGGCCACAATTAATTTCCATTAATCTTTTAATACACTCCCTGGCCTGGGTACTGAAGGCACAGTGCTTCTTCAGGACACTCACCGTCCAGTCAGGGGATCAGGGTCATCATGGGGGGAACAGGGTAGGTGCTGTGGGACCCAGAGGAGGGATCTACCCAGCCAGGAGGGGAGGAGGAAAGGCTTCCTGGGGGTAGGGGGTGGAGGGTGACGTCTACATTGAGACTTGAACTGGCGTGAACCAGGAAAGGAGATGAGGTGGAGGGAAGAGTGTACCTGGCAGAGGGACCAGCATGAGCAAATGCCTGGTCTGAGCTTCATGGGAACCACAAGTCACAGGATCTGCCAGAGATCAGAGGAGACAATGAACAAGCTGGTGAGGCTGGATCAGCAGGTGCAGAAGATTGCTCACAGGAGGTGTTCCCTAAATGCTTATTGAGGCCAAGCTAGGATTGGTCCTGGCTCCTCCGGCCCCCCAAATCCTTCACCTCTGATGAACACTTCTCCGGTCCCCACAGATTGACCTCGTGCGGTGTGGGATGACCCCCACTGCCCCGGCTAACCCTGGGAAAGTGCACGAGCTGTGGGGGGGCTGGGGTCTGAGCACCCTGGAGAACGGCCGCCGTCGCAGCCAGGTAAGATGGTAGGATGGTAGGGAGTGGTTCTGGATCTGCATGGGTTGCCAGGGGCCAGGCCTGAACTGTGTCTAACCAACTGCTGAAGTCAGCTGGTTGGAGTGTCCATGGGGAAACTGAGGTAAGTTGACAGTCCTATTGTGTGCCCACAGGAGAAATTAAGGCAGGGCTTGGTCTCATTGTGTGCATGGAGGAAACTGAGGCAGGATGATGCAGTCCTATTAGGTGTCCGCTGGATAAACTGAGGCAGGGAAAGTCTCATTGTGAGTCCTGTAGGGAAACCTTCCCCCGATTCCAGCTTTTGGGGAGGCAGGGCTGTCTTGCTGTGTCCATGGGTGAAAAAGAGGCAGGGCTCAGTCCCAATGTGTGCCTGCGGGGGAAACCACTGCATGGTGACAGTTTCATTGTGTGTCTATGGGGAAACTGAGGCAGAGTGACAGTCCTGGTGTGTCCATGAGTAAACAGGAAGGACAGAGGTCTCAGCACCTGTCCATCTGGAACACCGAGGCCCCACCTTGCCCCTCCCCTCCCCGCAGGCAGAGCTGGAAACGCTGGTACTGTCCCGAAGTCTGATGCAGGAGCTACAGAACTCGGTGGACGCACTGGAGACCAGTGTGCGGGGCCTGCCCCCAGGTGCCCAGGAGAAGGTGTCTGAGGTGCGGCGCAGCGTGGATGCCCTGCAGGCTGCCTTCGCTGATGCACGCTGCTTTGGGGACGTGCCGGCATCAGCGTTGGCTGAGGGCCGGGGCAGAGTGGCTCGGGCTCATGCCTGTGTGGATGAGCTGCTCGAGCTGGTGGTGCAAGCCATGCCACTGCCCTGGCTTGTGGGGCCCTTCTCGCCCATCCTCATAGAGCGGTCAGAGCCTCTACCTGACCTGGAGAACCTGGTGGACGAGGTCGTGGGGAGCCCGGACCCCCGCTGGGCACATCTGGACTGGCCCGCCCAGCAGAGAGCCTGGCAGGCCCAGCACGGGAACGGGACAGGTCTCCCAGAGGACATTCCAGAGGAGCCTGAGCCCCCCAGCTGCCCCAAGCACACCTTGATGCCAGAGCTGGACTTCTGACAGGATGGAGCCTCGCAGCCACAGAGGCAGCAGGAAGCTGCCCTACACCTCCATGTCCTGCTGGCCCCTAGTGGCCATGCAGAAGCACTTACAGCCAATGCCTTGACCTTGGCGCAGGCTCGGAGTTGGGGGTTCTGGTGGAATTCTGAATCTAGATCAGCTTCACTGATATCAGACCCTCCCCATCTTTCCCTTGGACATATGGGGACATGAACCTAATTCAGGTCTGACTAGTCCCCAGTTGGGTTCATCTATCTTTGGTCACCTGTTCCTTTACCCCAAGAAGCTGATCAAAACTCCTCAAAACACAAGCATTTTGCCAAATGCTTCTATTTGGAGCTTTGAAAAGTGAGCATTCCCCCTGCTCACCCAGCTTGTACATCCTGGACTGAGGGATCCCCAGAGAGTCTATGTTGCACCAGCTGAGCCTGCCAGACCCACTTGCTTTGCTGTTTGGGGTATGCTCTCCAGAATAAAGGTGCTTCGTGTTGTCCAAAGGCCCATGGCCTCTGTTCTGGCTGGGGTGAGTTTCAGTTGCAGGGTGCCTGGGGGCCTCGAAGGTGTGTGACTGCATGGAACAGCCAGGGTCTGAGATTTGAAAGAAGCCCCCCTCCAACCTGCCATCCTGTCTGCACTCCCACCTTTAGTGCCCAGCCCACCTGGGTTAAGCATTGCCCCTTCCGATGTAGCTTCCTGGAATGCAAGTTCACACTTCGGCATAAATGAATGTCTTGGAAACTACAGGCAGCAGGATCTTGAAGAGAGTTAGATGAGTCAGCCCCTCATATGCTCACCTCCCTGGACCCACAGTTGCTGATCTTGCTGTTGGTTGCTCCATTCGTCAGGATTGGTAAGACACAGGCAGGGCAAGGGCCACGGGCCAGTCTCATGGGGGCCCTCCTATCCTCTGACCACATTCTTGGCTGCCCCTCAGACACCCTGGTGGCCAGGCAGGGTGTTGGGAAACCACAGCGTGATTCGGTGAGGTCAGGGTGGCCCCTGGCTTCCCTGGAACCCAGCCCAGGGGCAACTCTGGGAGCCCTGACTACTCCCCACTGATTGAATTCACTTCCCTGCCCCTGCTCCCCGTTGCCCTAGGATTGAGTCCCAGCCTTGCCTACAGGTGGGTAGGCAAGTGACTTCTCCTCTCCGAACCCCTTTTCTCTGCAAAATGGGCAAGTCATGCTTAATCCTAGTATAACCTCACCCACAGAAGCTATTATTCACCCATTCGACAAATATTTATAGAGCACCTGCTGGGTGTCAGGCAGTTCTCCACCTTGGGGACATGGCAGTGAACAAAATGGATAAAATTCTTGTCCTCTATGACCTGATAACACAGTAAGAGACAGGCAAGTAATAAAAATAAGTAAATTATTTTTCTTAGTGTTAGTAGAACGATAAGAAAAATAAAAGGGAAGCACAATGGGGAGTCTGTGGGCATTCGAGGAGAGATGTATATTTTTAAATAGGAGAGGGGGTCCAGGAAGGCCTCTCTGAGCAGGTGACATATGAGCAAAGACTGAAGAACATTCCAGGCAGGAGGCACAGCCTGTTCAAAAGCCCTGGGGCAGGAACTTGCCTGGCCCATTGGAGAAACGACGAGGCCTGTGTAGCTGAAGCAGAATGAGGGGGAGAAAGGGAGAACATGAGAGCAAGGAGAGGACAGGAGCAGGTCATCCAGGGTCTATGGGCCTTTACCCTAAAGGAGGGGGGAGCCCTGGAGGGCTATGGGCAGAAAGGGGATGAAACCTAATTTGATGTTTATGATCATTTTTATTATATATTTTTCTTTATTGATTTTAGAAAGAAAGGGAGAGGGAGAGATAGAAACATTGATGAGAGAGAACATCGATCGGCCACCTCCTGCATGCCCCGCCACTGGAGATTGTGCCCACAACCTGGGCATGTGCCCTGACCGGGAATCAAATTAGCAACCTCTTGGTGCATGGGTCAATGCTCAACCACTAAGCCACACTGGTTGGGCCATTTTTGATGGGTTCCCTGCCTCACTGCACTGTGGCAGCCCTGAGGGGAGGGACATACCCATTGGGAGGGTCCAACCCCCCAACATCACCTTTAGGAAATGTTGACTGGAAGAGAGAGGTTGGGGGATCCCTTCTGTTCCTTGTCTGGCAAACACAGTGACAGCTCCAAGGAGACAAACTAGGGGTCATCAGACCCAACAACGGGACCCTTCCTTCTCCCAGCTCAGAGCCCAGAGCTACCAGCTGGGTCTCTCCCCAATCCCCACCAGCAACAACTGTGGTTCCCAAGGGGCAGGCTGTGGGGAAAACAGCCCAGGGAGGGCATGGCAATCACTCCTCTGCTCATCTGTATGTATACCCATCCACAGACAGCCCGCTCTACACACAGGCTCAGGGTCTGGGTCTGGGTCTGGATCTTGTCTGCCATTTCCTGGCTCTGTGACCTCAGACACAAAATACACCCTCCAAGAAGCCACCTTAGATTGGCCAGAGCTTACCAAGTCTGTTTCTCACTCTTAGGATGCCCCCAACTCTATTGGTGCTCTGTTTTGATCTGTTTTGTCCCCTTTGTCAAGGGAAGTCCCTTCCAGAGAGTGACATGTCCTCTCCTTGCTGAGGATAGACGTTGCTCCTCTCTGCCTACACAATGTTAACCTAATGTCTGTTGAGCACCTGTTGGGTGCCAGGCACAGGGATAAACAGGTCACATGTGTGACCTCATTTCACACTCACAACCATTCTATGAGTCGGCCCATTTAACCAAACATTTAGTAAGTACCAACTGTGTGCCAGGTACTGTCCTATTGCAGGGAACATGGGGAGGGAGGGAGGAGGTGTGTGGATGTCTGGGGAAATGTGCTGTAGGCAAAAGACATAGCCCATGCAAAGGCTCTAAGGCAGGACCATGCCCAGAGGTTTGGAGGAATAGCAAGGAGGCCCCTGTGGCTGGAGTGATCGAAGAGGAGAGAGCCAGAGGAAATGAAGGGCAGAACATTGTGGGCCCCAGTGAGGAGTCTGGAGGGAAAACTGAGGCGAAGGCATCTCAGTAGAGCTGAGATATGAACTATGCCCATCTCATGGATGGAAAGAGTGGGCCAAGAGGGCACACTGGCTGTGTCTCAGGGACATAAGACGGCCCATGAATCACTCAGCTTGGTGGGGGAGGGTGCTGTGGGCCGAGGTAGCCCAGTACTGAGAGCAGGGCAAAGGTGCTGGGCCCGGGGCCCACGCACGCTGGGCTGGACAGGCAAGCACGTGACCCTCCAGGGCCCTCCCTTAGCAGGCTGGCTGCCTGCCTCTGCCGGCCAGGCCTGCGCCTGCCCCAGACCCTATAAGGCCTGGGAGCGGAAAGCAGAGCCAGCTGCCAGCTGCGCCGCCAGTCACTCCAAAGGACCCTCACACAGTCCAGGTGAGCAATGCCAGGGTGAGGCAAGGTCTCCAGGTGGGTGTCTGGGAATGTCTGGGGATATCGGTGTGGGGCAGGAAGTAATGGAGCCCCCATTTATGAACCATCTCTGCCCCCTTTCAGCTGCTTAGAGTATTAACATGTCTGCTCAAGAGGAAAGAGGCCGGGAGTCCTCCAAACCCAAGGGCAAGGTGAGAAGTACGGGAGGTGGGGATCCTTGTTAAGGCCTGGAGACCCCCTAGAACCTTGGGAAGGTGACCTTGGGTCTGGGAGGCACTTTCCAGGTGGGGTGGAAGGGCGCTGAGAGCCCGGGTGCTAACTCTTCTCTCCGGTCCCAAGCTGGGGGCGGGGGTGAGGTCTTCATGCAGACCTCAACTTCTTTCCTACTTTGTGACTTTGGGCTAGCCACAACCCCTCTCTGAGCCTCAGTTTCCCCAGTTGTGAAATAGAGGCTGTGGGAGAAAGCCTTGGAGACTTGAAGGATGACCTTTTCCTCCGTCCATGGGAGACCGGCTGCATCTGCCCATTGTCCGGACAAAGAAACTGAGGCTTGAAACTCGAGGTCACCCAAAAACAAGGGCCTGAGGAGGTGTAGGCCAGGGTTGTCCAATATTTCCCCCACCCCACCCCATCCCACTATGGCCTGGCCCAGCTCATGCTGCCCCCTCCCCACACAGACCCTGAGCAGCTTCTTGGGGTTCCTGCCTGGCTTCAGTTCCTCCCGGAACCAGGTGGCCAACGCTCACAGCTCAGCAAGAGAAGCCCAGCCTGCAGCTGATCCCACAGGTGCTCCCACCCCCAAGACCACCCATCCCCAGGCCCAGAGTGAGTACACAGTTCCGTAGGGTAGGGGACCCCAGCAATAGGAAACCCCCTAGCAGGGACCTCTGGCCACTCTGAGATGTTTCATATGTGCCTGTGTCATCTTAATAGACACTATAAAACTGGCAACACTCATTTAGCACCAGATGGGGAAACTGAGGCATGAATATGGTGGGTGAGTGGCCCAAAGTGGCATAACCAGCAAAAGTGGGGATGTGAACACAGCCGAAGTACCACCCATGCTCTCCATCACCCCCACCTCCCATCAGCCGTTTCTGATACCCGTGGACCTGGGCCTGGGTGTTCTGCACGCAGACCTTATTGGGGATGGTGATCCTGGTTCCCAAAGAGGGACAGGGGCTTCCCTGGGATGGCAGAGCCCGGGGGTCTCCCCACCCTCCAATTACTCAGCCAGGGTACTCAGGGCACATAGGGAACTGGTGCAGGGGGCCCAGAGTTGAGGTGGCTGCCTGGGCTGGGCGTCACTCTGGGCCCAGAGCCCTTGGCAGCTGACTTCTGCTCCACATACCCAAGCCTGACAGGCAACAGCCAGCTGTAGCAGGGGTGGGGCAGCACCCTGACTCCTCTCCCTGCAACCTCCCTGGGTGGGCTGGATCCAGGACCCAGGCAGAGGAAAACACCAGGGAGCCCCTTGGTTCCAGGGGGCTGAGGCCTTGGGGGGGTCAAAGGGAGCCAAGCCTATGGCCATAGATGTCACCTCCTGCTGTCCCTGGCGGGGTGGCTGGGACATTCCTGGCCTTTCAGGCTGTGCCTGACAATTGCGCAATGGGCACCAAGGCAGCTGATGCCAGCCCGCTTCCATCGCCTTCCCTGGGGTGCCTGACCAGCTCCTGTCCCCACAGCAGCTACTGACCCGAAGCAGATGGCCAGGGAGGTGGAGGAGCTGCCGTCGCCTTCAGACAAGGTGAGTGGCTCTCAGAGCCTGGTCGGATGGCCTCTGTCTCCCTCAGGGATGTTTTGGTTCCTGCCCAAGGAGAGCGCAGACACCCCTGTATGTCCTACTATGGGATTCCAGACAGATCCTCCCCTTCCGAGCCTCCACTTCCACATCTGTGAAATGGGTGCAGCACCGCCCTACTGCCCAGCATGGTCAGGTTCCAAACAGACTACAGAGAGCCCCTCGCTCTCTGTCTAGCATGATGCGACCCAAACAATGGCAACTCACTCACCATATGTCAGGTTCTGAGCACTGCTTTATACATGCTGCTCAACAGTTAATCCTCCCAACCACCCTGTGAGGGGATAAACAGTATCCCACACAAGAGCTGAGGCACACAGAAGTGGAGCCACCTATCAAAGGTCATATAGCAGGATGTGGCAGCTTGGGATTTGAACCCAGGGGCAGTCAGAGGCTGAACTACACCAATGCCACATCCACCCCTGGTCCTGAATACATGGGGACCAACATGCTATTCTGTCCCCAGGGGCTGACAGAAGCCAGCTGAGGCCACAGCAGGGTGGCAGAGCCCTGACAAGAATTCTGCCACCGAGCACATGCCCCCACTCTGGTCTTCCTAATCTCCCTCTGCCCTCAGCTCAACCAGATCTTAGTATTTCAGAAGGCAAAGAATCTCGACGTTAAAACAGACCCTTTATCCCCTCTTCATTTATGTACTTCTCTGCTCCTCTCCGCTCATGCTGAGTGCCTACTACCTGCAAAGTGCTTTAGGTACCTTGATTCGTTTCCTCCACAATCCTTGAAGGAGGTGCTGTTTTAATCACTATTTTTCAGAAATTGGCTCAGAGAAGGGATGTGGTTTTCACATAGCAAGTGCAGGAAAGAGCTGGGATTTGAACCTGGGTCTTTGAATCCCACCTCCCACCACCCACAGAGCCCAAGGTGCCCACTTGATTCAATAGTGGGCTGGAGGCCCTGGCTGGTTTGGCTCAGCGGTTAGAGCGTCAGCCTGCGGTACGGAGAGACCGGGTTTGGTTCCCGCTAAAGGCACATACTTCGGTTGCAGTTTGTCCCCCGCCCTGGTTGGTCGTGCGGGTGGCAGCCACTCGATGTGTCCCTTCACGTCGATGTTTCTCTCTCTCTCTCTTCCTCTCTCTCCCTCCCACTCTACCTGTACAAAAAAAAAAAAAAAATAGTGGGCTGGAGGCAGGTAATGAGAATAAAATTCAGAGCTTCTCAATGTCAGTATTGTGACCATTTGGGGCAGGATCATTCTTGGTTGTGGGGCTGTCCTGGGCACTGTGGGGTGCTGCACAGCATCCCAGGTCTCCACTCAATCAATGCAAGTAACGCCCTGTCATCTCAGTCACAACAATCACAGATGTCCCCAGACATCAACCAACATCCCCCGAGGGGGCATGATTGCCTGAGTGAGAACCACTGAATTAAAAATAGCACACTCATGTCTGAACCTGAGTGGTGGCAACCCTGAGGCCATCACAACCCTTTGGTAGTGTGCTTGACTAGAGACAACTGCTATCGGGTAGGTTAAAAATATGAAAGCTATCAACAATTTCCTATGGCTTGAACCCAATACGTGCCACTTGCCCCTTAAGTTTTTGGTTACTACTTTTCTTTTCTTTTTAATCTTCACCCGAGGACATTTTTCCATTTTTAGTTCAGACAGAGTGGGAGAGAGAGAGAGGAAGAGAGAGAGAGAGAGACAGAGAGAGAGAGAGAGAGAGATTAACGTGAAAGGGACACATCGAGTGGCTGCCTCCCGCACGACCCAACCAGGGCCGGGGACAAGCTGCAACAGAGGTACATGCCCTTAGCGGGAATGGAACCCGAGCCTCTCTGGACCGCAGGTCAACGCTCCAACCGCTGAGCCTAACTGGCCAGGGCTTGGTTACTACTTTTCCAAATGTTCATCTCCTTCTCTTAGTAACTAATAACAATTTGGTCTCTCCACTATAATGGGGAAACCAGGCTCAAATTCTGATAAAAATGAACAAATATATGTAATTCAAGCTTGCTGGTCCCAAGCCAAGGCACCTTGTCTGTCCAGGGTTCCAGAGGTGTAAGGACCCACTGTCAGCAACGGGGATCTTGCATCAAGGGAGTAATCTGACAGCGATGGAGCTTGTTGAGGCTGTGTCCTGGAAGGCCATGGGTACATCAGGGGTGGGAATGAGGAGGCACAGCCTCTGCTGATAGATACTACTTACCAGGTCCATCAGGAACCAGGCTGGCAGAAGGCTGCCTCCCAGCTCTGCTCTGACCACACATGTCCTTTCTCCTCAGATGATCTCTGGGGCGAAGGACCTGGTGTGCTCCACGATGACCAAAACCAAAGACGCCATCTCGTCCGGAGTGGCCAATGTGATGGACTCAGCTAAAGGTGTGGTCCAGGGAGGTCTTGACATGACCGGACCTGTGCTCACGGGAACCAAGGAGGCTGTGGCCAGTGGGGTCGCAGGGGCAGTGGGTATGGCCAAAGGGACCTGTCAAACTGGTGTGGACACCACAAAGACTATGCTGACCAACACCAAGAACACAATCTACAGTGGAGTGACAGGTGCAGTGAACATGGCCACAGGAGCTGTCCAGGGGGGCTTGGACACCTCAAAGGCTGTCCTCACAAGTACCAAAGACACAGTGTCCACTGGCCTCACTGGGGCAATGGGTGTGGCCAAGAGTGCCGTCCAGACAGGTGTGGACACCTCCAAAACCATCCTCACTGGCACCAAGGACACAGTGTCCACTGGCCTCACTGGGGCAGTCGGTGTGGCCAAGGGTGCCATCCAAACTGGCATGGACACCACCAAGACTGTCTTGACTGGCACCAAAGACACTGTGTCCACTGGCCTCACCGGGGCGGTGGGTGTGGCAAAGGGTGCCGTCCAAACTGGCATGGACACCTCCAAGACAATCCTGACTGGCACCAAAGACACCGTGTCCACTGGCCTCACCGGGGCAGTGGGTGTGGCCAAGGGTGCCATCCAAACTGGCATGGACACCACCAAGACCGTCTTGACTGGCACCAAAGACACAGTGTCCACTGGGATCACTGGGGCAGTCGGTGTGGCCAAGGGTGCCATCCAAACTGGCATGGACACCACCAAGACCGTCTTGACTGGCACCAAAGACACAGTGTCCACTGGCCTCACTGGGGCAGTGGGTGTGGCCAAGGGTGTCGTCCAGACAGGTGTGGACACCTCAAAGACCATCCTGACTGGCACCAAAGACACAGTGTCCACTGGCCTCACTGGGGCAGTGGGTATGGCCAAAGGTGCCATTCAAACTGGCATGGACACCACCAAGACCATCTTGACTGGCACCAAAGACACAGTGTCCACTGGCCTCACTGGGGCAGTGGGTGTGGCGAAGGGTGCCATCCAAACTGGCATGGACACCACTAAGACTGTCCTGGCCGGCACCAAAGACACAGTGTCCACTGGGATCACCGGGGCAGTGGGTGTGGCCAAGGGTGCCGTCCAGACTGGTGTGAACACCTCCAAGACTGTCCTGACCGGCACCAAGGATACAGTGTCCACTGGCCTCACTGGGGCAGTGGGTATGGCCAAGAGTGCCGTCCAGACTGGTGTGAACACCTCCAAGACTGTCCTGACCGGCACCAAAGACACAGTGTCCACTGGCCTCACCGGGGCAGTGGGTGTGGCCAAGGGTGCCATCCAAACTGGCATGGACACCACTAAGACTGTCCTGGCCGGCACCAAAGACACAGTGTCCACTGGGATCACCGGGGCAGTGGGTGTGGCCAAGGGTGCCATCCAAACTGGCATGGACACCACCAAGACCGTCTTGACTGGCACCAAAGACACAGTGTCCACTGGCCTCACTGGGGCAGTGGGTGTGGCCAAGGGTGTCGTCCAGACAGGTGTGGACACCTCAAAGACCATCCTGACTGGCACCAAAGACACAGTGTCCACTGGCCTCACTGGGGCAGTGGGTATGGCCAAAGGTGCCATTCAAACTGGCATGGACACCACCAAGACCATCTTGACTGGCACCAAAGACACAGTGTCCACTGGCCTCACTGGGGCAGTGGGTGTGGCGAAGGGTGCCATCCAAACTGGCATGGACACCACTAAGACTGTCCTGGCTGGCACCAAAGACACAGTGTCCACTGGGATCACCGGGGCAGTGGGTGTGGCCAAGGGTGCCGTCCAGACTGGTGTGAACACCTCCAAGACTGTCCTGACCGGCACCAAGGATACAGTGTCCACTGGCCTCACTGGGGCAATGGGTGTGGCCAAGGGTGCCATCCAAACTGGCATGGACACCACCAAGACCGTCTTGACTGGCACCAAAGACACAGTGTCCACTGGGATCACTGGCGCAATGGGAGTGGCCAAGGGTGCCGTCCAGACTGGTGTGAACACCTCCAAGACTGTCCTGACCGGCACCAAGGATACAGTGTCCACTGGCCTCACTGGGGCAATGGGTGTGGCCAAGGGTGCCATCCAAACTGGCATGGACACCACCAAGACTGTCTTGACTGGCACCAAAGACACAGTGTCCACTGGCCTCACCGGGGCAGTGGGTATGGCCAAGGGTGCCATCCAAACTGGCATGGACACCACTAAGACCGTCTTGACTGGCACCAAAGATACAGTGTCCACTGGCCTCACTGGCGCAATGGGAGTGGCCAAGGGTGCCGTCCAGACTGGTGTGAACACCTCCAAGACTGTCCTGACTGGCACCAAGGACACAGTGTCCACTGGCCTCACTGGGGCAATGGGTGTGGCCAAGGGTGCCATCCAAACTGGCATGGACACCACTAAGACCGTCTTGACTGGCACCAAAGATACAGTGTCCACTGGCCTCACTGGGGCAATGGGTGTGGCCAAGGGTGCCGTCCAGACTGGTGTGAACACCTCCAAGACTGTCCTGACCGGCACCAAGGACACAGTGTCCACTGGCCTCACTGGGGCAATGGGTATGGCCAAGGGTGCCATCCAAACTGGCATGGACACCACTAAGACCGTCTTGACTGGCACCAAAGACACAGTGTCCACTGGCCTCACTGGCGCAGTGGGTGTGGCCAAGGGTGTCGTCCAGACAGGTGTGGACACCTCAAAGACCATCCTTACTGGCACCAAGGACACTGTATCCACTGGCCTCACTGGGGCAGTGGGTGTGGCCAAGGGTGTCGTCCAGACAGGTGTGGACACCACCAAGACCGTCTTGACTGGCACCAAAGACACAGTGTCCACTGGGATCACCGGGGCAGTGGGTATGGCCAAGGGTGCCATCCAAACTGGCATGGACACCACTAAGACCGTCTTGACTGGCACCAAAGATACAGTGTCCACTGGCCTCACTGGGGCAGTGGGTATGGCCAAGAATGCCGTCCAGACTGGTGTGAACACCTCCAAGACTGTCCTGACCGGCACCAAGGACACAGTGTCCACTGGCCTCACTGGGGCAATGGGTGTGGCCAAGGGTGCCATCCAAACTGGCATGGACACCACCAAGACCGTCTTGACTGGCACCAAAGACACAGTGTCCACTGGCCTCACAGGGGCGGTGGGTACGGCCAAGGGTGCCATTCAAACTGGCATGGACACCTCCAAGACCATCCTGACTGGCACCAAAGACACAGTGTCCACTGGCCTCACTGGGGCGGTGGGTTTGGCCAAGGGTGCCATTCACACTGGCATGGACACCACTAAGACCGTCTTGACTGGCACCAAAGACACCGTGTCCACTGGCCTCACTGGGGCAGTGGGTGTGGCCAAGAGTGCCGTCCAGACAGGCGTGGACACCACCAAGACCATCCTCACTGGCACCAAGGACACTGTGTCCACTGGGATCACCGCGGCAGTGGGTGTGGCCAAGGGTGCCATCCAAACTGGCATGGACACCTCTAAAACCATCCTGACAGGCACCAAAGACACAGTGTCCACTGGCGTCACTGGAACAATGGGTGTGGTCAAGAGTGCTGTCCAGACGGGTGTGGACACCTCCAAGACCATTCTGACTGGCACGAAGGACACCATACAGAATTGGTTACCTGGAGCCGAGGAAAGCTCCTGTGGTGGACTCATCAATGACTGGGACATGGACAAATGTGGGGAACAAACTGTACTAAGCACCCTGCAGGCTTCATCCTGCAATGTCTCCAGCCTCCCAGACACACACTGTGCAGGCCACGACCGTGCCAGAGAAGCCACTGCCAGCAGCCAGGGCCTTGTTTCCACTGTGGTACCATTCCAACAAGGCTCCACCCTGGGCCCGGAGGATGTGGGCTGCATGGCCACCATATGCGGACATGAAGGTGTCACGGGCTCTACAACACTGCTGGAGGAGCTGGGGGAGATCTTCCACCCAATGAATGCCGAGGAGCAAGGTGAGAATAGGACAAGCAGGGTCCCAGGTCCTAGTGGGGGCTGGCATCTTCTAACCCAAGACCTGGATGTTCTCAGTGTCCTCTTGGGTTAAGTAAGTCCGTCTTCCCTTCCAGCTCAGTTGGCGGCTTCTGAGCCTGGGCCCAGGGTACCCGCAGCAGACCAGAGCAGTTACTTCGTGCGTCTGGGCGACCTGGCCCACAGCTTCCGCCAGCGGGCTTTTGAGCATGCCATGAGCCACCTGCAGCACAGCCAGTTCCAGGCCAGGGCCACACTGGCTCAGCTTGAGGACTCCTTTAGGCTGGTAAGTCTTCCCCTCTCCAGGGTGCCTTTCTCAGAATTATCTCCCCATGGCTTCCCCATGCCAACATCTGTCAGCCACTAAGACAGCTACAGACTGCTCTCACAGGGCTTATGTCCCAGAGAGGGAGACAGACAACCAAACCAAATATAGTAGTTCCCCCTTATCTTTGGGAGATACATTCCAAGACCTCCTGTGGATGCCTGAAACCAGGGATAGAACCGAACCCAATATACACTGCTTTTTCCTACACATACATATCTACGGTAAGGTTTAATTTATAATTTAGGCACAGTGAGAGATAATAGTAAAATAGAACAATCATAACATATTGTAAAAAAAAGTGATATTAATGTGCCATTAAGTAAAATTAAGTAAAGGTGACTTGCCCTGGCCAGTTTGGCTCAGCGGTTGGAGCGTCAGCCCACGGACCAAGGAGTCGTAGGTTTGATTCTGGTCAAGGGCAGGTACCTCGGTTGCAGTTCAGTCCCTGGCCCTGGTCGGGGTTGTGTAAGAGACAACCAATCAGTTTGTCTCACTCACATCAATGTCTCTCTCACTCTCCCCAACTCTGTCTGAAGATAAATGAAAAAAAAAAGTATCCTCGGGTGAATATTTAAAAAAATAATTAAACAAGGGTAACTTGAACATGAGCACTGTGATACCCCAATGGTTGATTTGGTAACTGATATGGCTACTGTGTGACTAACAGGCGGGCAGCATCTCCAGAGTGAAGACACTGGACAAAGAGATGTCATGCCCCAGGTGTGACAGAGTGGGGCCATGCGAGATTTCATCACACTATTCAGAACAGGAGCCATTTAAAAATTATGAATTGTTTATTTCTGGAATTTTCCATGTAATATCTTTGGACTGTGGTTGACCGCGGGAACTGAAACTGAAGATAGGAGGGACTGCTGTAGGATTACTGTAAGAGGGGATGCAAAGAAGGAAACAAGACAACCATGCAGAGGGTCTGGGTTGAGCAGGACAACGTCCCTTTGAGCCACATCATGAATATCAAGGAGAGAGCCATGCAGAGTTGGGAGAAGTGGGGACCATAAGAACAGAGTGCCTAGCCCTGGCCCCGTAGCTCAGTTGGTTAGAGCATCATCCCGATACGCCAAAGTTGCAGGTTTGATCCTTGGTCAGGGCACATACAAGACTCAACCAATGAGTGCATAAATAAGGGGAGCAACAAATCAATGTTTCTCTCTCTCTCAAATCAATAACAAACTGGGCTCAAGGAGCAGAAAGGCAGCTGGAGTGACAGTGAAGTAAAGGTGGGGATAGGGCAGGAAAAGCCCAGGGATCTAGGGTTCAGGGATGTGCAGAAATTGTGACGGAGTGTCAGCAGGAGATGAGGTCTGAGACACCCTGGGGGCAGACCATGCAGACCATGGTGAGGTGTTGGTTTCATCCAACAGGCACTGGGGAGGCATGGAAGGGCTTTGAGCTGGGGGGTGGGTGACAAGATCTCATTATCTGTTATTTGATCTCCCTGAAGACTTCATTGGGAATTTGGATTGTTGCCACTTGACAAGAGAAGATAAACCCATCATGGCACAGCTGACTCTAAATTTGTGGCCTTCCCATCATGCCACACAAAGGTCTAGACATGAGGCTCCAGGCCAGGCCAGGGAGTACCCACCCCAGCCCCTTGTGCTGCTCCGGGGGAGTGTGTGAAAGGTCCCTGCCAAAAGCCTTCATTTCTCTGGGCTCTTTACAGATTAAAAAGATCCAGCAGGCTCCAGAAGGACAGCTGTGGCCAGAACTGAGTCTCAGAGGTGGAGTGGAGAAAGCCAGTACCCAAGAGGTATGTACAAGTGGCCAAGGCTCCCAAGGTCTTCTCCTCTCTGACCCCCGCTCACCTCTCTCCCTCCTCCCACAGGTGCCAGATGTGGGGGCTCTGTCCAAGGCCTGTGGACTCATCCAGCAGCTCCATGTGGCCTACAGCACCCTGGCCTCTGGCCTCCAGGGCCTCCCAGCTGAGCTCCAGCAGCGGGTCCGGCAGGCGCGGCACAGCCTCTGTGAGCTCTATGGCGTCGTCTCCTCTGCCAGCTCCATCGCAGAGCTGCCAGCTGAGTGCCTGGCCCAGAGCCATGAGAGTGTCGGCCAGGCCTGGCAAGGGCTGGAGAAGCTGCTGGAGAGCGTGCAGCACAGTCCCCCGCTCAGCTGGCTGGTAGGGCCTTTTGACCTGCACCCCAGTGGGCAGAAACTATAGGTCCTCCTCAGAGCCTCCCCAGCCCCAAACCAGCCCCAACTCCCCGAAACTCTGGACCCTGCTGGCAGGTGTACGAAGGACTTTCTGCATTAAGCACACTATGCTCACAGCTCTGGGACTGCACCATCCACCCTTCTTCCCAAGCACAGCTGGCCCTAGGAGCCCAGGGTTGCTAAGACTACTGACAGAGGACCTGCACTTGAAGATCCTGAGCAAGCATTCCAGTTAGGAAAGAAAAGTGAAATGTGCCTGAGTCTAGAAGATTCTCCACTCAGGAGCCCCCACTAGGAGCCTGATTTATCTTTGTGGGGGGTGAGGGTCTTCTGCCCGTCTGGGCCTTCAGCTACCAGCTTGGCAGGTGGTCCTGCTCCTCGATCCTTGCTCTGAAAGCATCTACCCCAGACTTTAGCAAACACCTTGCACCAGAATATACCAGAATGCCACCACCATCCTGAGGCAGGGTCCCACTGCCTTTGCTGACCCCAGTGTGGCCAAAAGAAGGGGCTTCATGAAGACATAGTCACCAGCAGCCACCCCATCCCCAAGTTTTGCGGAAGCCAGCCTTTGAGGACTACATTGCTTCGGGGGTGGCGGGGGGTTTACAAATCAAGCCCTTTCCTGCTTGATCCGCTTGCCTACCTGCCCAGCCCTGCAAGCAAATCACATCACAGAGCTGAAGTTCTGGTCCCAGGGCCCAGAGACTTCCCATGGCCAAATAAAAGGCTTCCCCACAGGGGACAGGGCCCTAGGAAGTATGTGACAAAATGTGCTGAATGATCCTTCAGGTCTTGGTAATGTGCTCCAGGCTGGAGACCAGGGCCTGCAATGGTTTGGGAGTGTCCCCTGTAATCCCAGCCACAGATGTCCAAGCTCCCTGCCCCTGTACCCAGATGTGAAAACTCAGGATGTTCATCCAAGAACTACTCCCTCATTGGCCTCGGCCTCTTTCCAGCTGGGAGCTACACGTCAGAATACCATCAGCCCAAGCCATGTCGCACTCCCACCTTCCCAGAACCTGCACCATGCTGACAGCACACCCCACACTGCACCCTCTTCTCAGAAATTATCAGGTGCTCTGAGCTCAAAGATGAATGAACCAGCTCTCCCCAAGGGTTACCAAAGGCTGCCAGGATCTGGGAGGGACTCTGAACTGGGGTGCTGTGTCTGGCTCGACAGGAACAAGTCGGGGAACCTGCCGAGACTTTCTTTCCTTGGCCTCCATCACATAAGGTTATCAGAGGTGAAGACACTGGGAATTCAGCTATTCACAGAAACTCAGCAAAGTGACTTGACTGCAAATCCGGCCAAACCAAATAGGGGGTGGGCAGGGCTCAAGAAGTCTCCCACCACACCACGGTCTCCCTCTCAGCTAGGATGGGGGGACTCACACAGGACAGGGGAACACAAGAGAGACCACTGTTTAACCAGACACTACTGTGTGCAAGTACCCGGCTAGGAGCCACACATGCACACCCCCGCCCCCATCTAAATCCACAACAGCCCTGTGAGGCTGGAGTCATCCCCTATCCAGGTGAGAAAAGAGAAGCCCAGGGTGGGGGTACTACTTGCCCAAGGTCACACAGTGAGGCCTGTCCCCGGTGTTTATGCTCTCTGAACGTGCAGACAACAGACAGCCCACAGAACCCTTCCTGGCCTGAATGCCCTGAACTGGCAGTGCCAGGCACTCAGAGTCTTGCCTTGCGGGGTGGGGTAGGGGGTGTGAAGTGGGCGAGAGAGAAAATGATTGAGTCAGTAAAGCAAGACAGTGGCTTTTGGGGGAAACATGGTAGCCACTGTCCCGGACCTACCCTCCCAGCCTCTGCTCCTCCTTCCTGGGTACTGGGCAGCCAAACCCAGGACATCAAACCACAGCCTCCGTTTGAGCCTCAAAGTTCAGAGTTTTATTTTCCTTTATTATTTTTGGAAAGGCCTTGCTCCCACCCCACTCCTTCACCATCAGCCCTGCGGGGCCGGGAACACCATTAAAACCAAGCTCACATTCACTGTATAGGGTGACACTATGGCTTAAAACCCTTCGTCCCCAAATGGGCCCCTGACAGCTACAGACATTTCCCCAATTCCAGCCCAGCTGCACCAGTAACACTAGAAAACCAAGCCAATAAAAGTGATTTTTTTTCATTAAAAAAACCCTTTATAGTCATTTCATGTCGGTTGGAAATCACAGAAATTGGACAGAAAAAAAAAAAAACCCGAGGGACAAATACAAATGAAGAACATAGCATTTCCCCAACAGTTTTCTGCTCCCTGGGCGGCCGGGAAGGAGTGGGGCAGGCCTACGGGCATCTACATGACGGGCGGGGCCTGGCCGCCGGGCTGCCCGGGGCTCAGCTGTCCTCGTCGTCCAGGGACTCAGAGTCCACGTGCGCCCTCTGGCGCTCCTGCCGGTCCTTCCCGGGCCCGTCCAGGTCGGGGCCCTCCCTCGTGCTGCTGGTGAAGCACAGCACGATGGGGGTGAGCAGATTGCCCTCCTGTCTGTCTGTCTATGTCCATCTACCACTGACAGTCTAAAAGCCCTATGTTCCTCCCGCCGTGCCCAGTGCAGTGGGTTGTATTGTATAGTCTGGGGTTCTCAGCATGGCCATATAACAGACTCAAGGGTGCTTGTGAAAGAGACTGCCTGCACCCACTCCTGGGGAGTCAGGAGGAAGCCAGTCCCTAGGGTCTGACCCAGGGCAGCTCAGCTCCCTTGATTGGGGGTCTGGGGATCTGCTAAGGTGGGGGATGGGAGGCCAGCACATGGGGGCCAAGTCCCTGGGACCATGACCAGGACAAGCAGCCCATGGGGAGCAACCCAGACATTAGGGTGCTTTCTCAGCAAGTCACCCACCCTTTTTTTTTTTTAGAAAGTCACCCCCAATGCCACAGCCCCCAGGGACACTTACTCATTGTGTAACAAGTCTTCAGAGGAGCCCCCCACCGGCCCCTCTTCCGAGTTCTGTCCTTCCTCCTGCTCCTTGTCCTCTGTGTTCCCACTCTTCTGGGATGTGGCCTCACCATTCACTGAGGCTGAGAGATCTGGGGGAAGAAAGGGGATCGTAGGACAAATGTGGTGCTATCAACTGGGACCCCTATCCCCTTCCCATTGAGACTGGGTGGGAGAATAGCCAGCTTTTGGACAGGGGACCCTCGAACCTCCTGAAGGGTCCTGGCCCCATGTACCAGTCACCTCTACCTCTGTGCCTCCCAGTCACATGGGGGTAGTCAGCTCCATCAGGCCACAGCTGGCTGCAAGTGCTTCTGCAGCCGGCCCAGGCCCCTGAAGAAGGGAGGAGCCAGGAAATGAGTGCCAAGGCTGGGTCAGAAAAAAGGAAAAAGATGCCCTCTCTAGGCTATCCCTGAGGCTTCTTCAAATGAGCCAACTTGATGCTAGTCTGAAGGGCTGCTCCAAGCATTCGAGGCCAATGTCCCTGTCAGAAACGTCCTTTTTCTCCTCTCAGCTCATCCATGACCATCCAGCTCCAGCCCAAGGCCTGTGCCCCCTAGGCATGCTCACACACTCTCAGCCAGCACACACACACACACAGCCTCCTACACTACCTGGCTCTGAGGGCCCAGAGCCCGTGAGCAACACAGGTGTGTGTGTACCAGACACCAGCTGCCTTGGGGACATGACCAGGCTTGCGCAGAGAGCACCAGCAGGACACACCACCATGGTCATCAGGGGAAGGGCCCAAGCAGCTCCTCACCAGCACTGGCCTCATCCTCTGCCCTCTCTGATGGGACCTCCTCTCCAACCAGAGCCTCCTCAGCCTTCTCTGCTTCAGCCTGCTCCTTCTCTGCTCCAGTTCTGGCCGCCTTCTGGATGGCCTCAATCTTTGGTCCCAGGACCCGTGACTTCAGGCGGGTATAGACTTCCGCAGCCTTCTCCATTACCTCCTTGTTGGCCTTGTAACGGCGAATCTGCCCACCAAGAGGCCTGACTCAGACAGTGCAGCTGGCCTTACCCCCCACCCAAGACCCTCCCTACTGCTGCCACCACCTCAGCACCTCCCATGGAGACTGGCACTTCCCCTAGCCAGTCCACCGGCTTTCTCCTCACCAACCAAGGGTAGCTGTGGCCAAGAACACAGGTTCCCCAAGCAGACTCCAGCCTTCTTGGATCCACCTGCCCCTAGTTTCTTGCACCCCTGGGCTCCAACCATACCTTTTTCAACGTGGCCACCACATCAGTGTTCTTCTGGAGGATATGAGAGGTCACCTGCAGGGTCCCAAGCTCCTCTAGTGCATTCAAACACCTCTTCACATCCTGCAGGGTGGGAAAGTAAGAAGGAGGGACAGCACCTAGGCAACCCAATAGGTCAGAGGAGGACACCCTGGGGTTTTTCCTGCGGGGAGAGCTGAGTGATGGGGAACCCCAGGGGCAGCAGAAAGACCCAGATTGGAGGATTCTTGGAGTCTACCCACAGTGCCACCTGGCGGGGATGCCAAGCAATGCACCCCAGGATGGCCCTAGCTAGGTGACAGACAATAGAAACAAGAACCCCTGGGCCCCATCCATCCTGAGGAACCCTGGATTTGTCTCAATTTCTGGAGACGTCTAAGGGAGCTCCAGACATGAGAGGGTGGCAGGGACTGCTTCACTTAGGAAAATTGGCTCCCCATGACCCCAAGGTGGGTCTTACCGGATTATCAACTTTCAGGGCGAACTTGATCTCGCTGTGTAGTTTCTGAAGCTTCTCCTCCACGGAAGGTTCTGTGGCCAGGATAGAATGCACTGCCTGGGCCTAAGCCCCCACACCCAGATGTGGCCAAGGACCTGCCTAAGTACTGCTATGGTGACAGAAGCAACCTTCCCTCCTCCCGACCTCAGCAACCTTGGGCTGCAAGACCTCAGGCAGCGACCGGGACAGCTGGGCCCTCACCTTTCTTCTTCTCAACCTTCCTGTCCGGTGGGAACCCTTCTGACCGCTTCCGGGTTCGTTCCACCTTCACGGGCCTGTGAAGACTCACTCCCCTTAGGCCTCTGACCAAAATCCACAAAGCCACCCTGCCCCAACCACTGCCATCCTCCCCAAGGGGCTGGAGCTGCAGAAGGAAACCTGGAAGCTGGGAGGAGGGGGTCAGGGACCATCATGACTTGGTCTAAGATAGGCACCTAGGACAAACCGTGTAAAATTCCAAAATTCTCTATTTTTTTTTTAATCCTCACACAAGGATATTTTTCTATTTATCTTCAGACAGTGTGGGGGTTGGGGGGAACATCAATGTGAGAGACACACATCAATCGGTTGTCTCCCACATGACCCCAAGTGGGGGTGGGGCCCTAACCAGAATCGAACCTGTGATTCTTTGGTCTGTGGGCCAACACTAACTGCTGAGCCAAACCAGTCAGGGCATTTGTTTATTTTTTTATGTGGCTGAGGGTTAGTAGCTAGTATGTAAAACCTAGTGAATGAGTTACTAAAAGGCCCTCCAGTTGGACACTCATAGACAACAGCAACACTCATTAACATGATTCCAGTTCTATACTCTACTCGGCAGTCAAGCTGCCAAGTTCCTAGCAGGCAAATTCCAGCCAATGACTGGAATTCCACTTAAAAATGTCAGGGAGATGCACCATCCCCCCACCTCACTGGGCCTAACTTAAAAAGCCTGAGAAACATTGGTCTGAGGAGAGTTCCCACCTTTGGCCCTCCTGACACTGGGGCCAGGTCACTCTCTGTGGGGGACATCCTGGACACTGTGGTGTGTTGAGCAGTATCTGTGGCCCCCACTCCCTCTATGTCACCAACACCCCAGTCAAGGACCACAATCCTAAACAGGTGACATTTCAACTGGATCTTTCCACCAAACTAAATTTGGAAGCTGGGCCCCTCCCATGAGGAGTGAGAAGTCCCTAGGAGGCTGAGAACCTGGGGACCAGAACAGGTCTTGGGGAGCTGTAGTGGGACAGGCTAAGTGAGTGCTGACCTGGATCGGGGCTTCTCCTCAGGGCGCCCTTTCTTCTCTTTCTGGCTGGGTCTCTTCGTGGGCTCTGCGCTTTGTGGCTGTAACTTCTTAGCTGATTTCTTCACCTAGAGCAGCAAAACAGAGGGGCTGGAGTGGCAGGGACTTGCTCTGAACTCCTGAATTGTCCCCATTGGATAATACAGCATGACACTTCCTCCTACCACTTTCACACTGCTGGGAGCTGGTGGAATGGACAGGGTGGAATGGGAAAGATCCCTGTGTCCAATCCATCCCCCAGCAGCAGATCTCAGGCTCTGAAAGGACTGCCCAACAATGGGGCAGCCCTACAAATTCCTCCTCCTGAGCAGGACACTTCCTGAGGCAGGGAACTTGGTTCCCCCTTTGCGACAGAGAGAGAGAGACTAGGAGAGAATGGGGTGTTGTTAGGCTTTCCCCATTCCCACATCAAGTGGGATCCTTGAGTCAGTCTAGAACGCGATGGGCCTTGGAAGTCAGACTCTCGGATTCAGGCCCACCACATATGGTGCTTGATAGTCACCACTGCCCCTTGCTGGCATCAGAGTCCTCCTAACTGCTCCCACGCCCACCTCACAAGCCATTACCCCATTGTGACCAGAGGACACATTTGGACATCTGAGTCAGGTCCACTGCTTGTCTGCATATAGCCCTTTGGGTCTCCCACCTCCCCCAGGGTAAAAGCCCAAGTCATCCCCAAAGCCCACAAGGCCCTGCACAGCCTGTCTCCATTCCTCCCCTGCCCTCACCTTCTCTCTCCCTGGCTCACTCTGATCCAGCCATACAGGCCTTGTTCTTCCTCCAACCTGCCAGGCATGGCCCTGCCCCAAGGCCTTTGTACAGGCTATGCCTGCAGTTTAGGATGCTCTTCCACCAGGTATCTTCCTAGATCACCTCTCACTTAATTCAGATCCCTACATAAGTGTCACCTTCTCAAAAGAAGCCTTTAGGGTCTATCCCATTTAAAATAGAAACCCTCCCACCCCAACATTTCATGTTCTTCCCATTACCTTCTTCTTCTTCTTAGCACAGAACGCTCTGGAATAGTACCATGTAACATCTTAATGTTGTCTACTCTCCCCCTCCCGCGGATGTCACCTCCTTAACAGCAGGGGTTTCTATGGCACCCATTGCTTTACTGCCATACCCCTGACACCCAGAACAGTGTCTAGAACACAGTAGGTACTCAATAAATGGGCTGAACAAAGGAATGGACTTGCCTGAAGGGGTGGGTGTTAGAGAGAAGCCTCCTCAGTCACCCGTGTTTCCCCACCACCCTCCATAGGGCCCCCATGACCCCTGCCAGGCTGGGCACACCTCTCTCTCCAGCTCAGCCTCGGGCTCTGAGTCGGAGGAGGACTGGGGCCCCCGTCCCCGACCCTTCCGGCCGCGCTGCTTTCTGACGGGCTCTTCTTCATCCCGGACTTCATCGCCGCTGCTGCCTCCACTGCCCCCGTGCAGGGCCTCCCCGCGCTCGGCCCGCTCTCGCCTCCGTTCCTTCTCCTCCTTCTCCTGCTCCCGCAGACGCCGCAGCTCCTCCTCCTGCTCTCGGCGCCGCCGGGCCTCCAGTTCACGTCGCCGTTCCTCGTCACGGCGCTTCCACTCACTGATTCGGTCTACCTCCTCACTGTCACTGGGGGTGCAGGCCAATTAGGGTGGTCCTGGGCCTCAGGAGGCACTGCTCCAGACCCACCCACAGCCTGGCTGAGGACGCTGCTAGACACAACCCAGTGCTGTCACCTACCTGTCACTGCTTGAGCTGCTCGGAGGCCGTTCAGGCTTCGGTTTCCGCCCACGGGGTTTTGGGGGAGGCTTCTCAACTACAAAAAAGGAAGGGGGGTGGCCTTCTCCCGCATCATCCTCCAGGTGGAGAAGGGGAACTCCACAGACCAACCCAGAGGCAAGGGCCCATGTGAACCCAAGGAACCAGGTGGGGACCAGTGCCAGCAATCCTACCTGGTTTCCTGCTTCTGGGAGGTTTCTTTACTGACACGTCGGAATCCGAGGAGGATGAGGAGGCCAAAGAGGAGGAGGAGGCCGACCTGGTCATGGCCACTGGCTCACCCTTAGCCCCTTCTGATTCTGGTTTGGAGTCTGAGTCAGAAGCCGAGGGTGGCTTCTGGGAGAGGATGAGGTGTGGAGGTGAAAAGGCAAAGCTCAGCATCTCCTGTAGCCTCCCAACCCATGAAAATTTGCCTTCCCCAAATTAGGAAAGCTTCTTTTAGACCTAGAGTCACAGGCAGCCCTGGATATGCCTACAGCTGCCTGATCCTTCACCTTGGTCACAGTGTATAATCTCCCCAGACCACCCTCTTCCTGGGTGAAGTGTGTGTGGGGGGGTCAAATGAGATACATGGGATTTTTCCCAGTGGCAAGAGGCTTTTATTATTATTTTTTTTTTTTTTTTATCCTCACCCGAGGATATTTTTCCATTTTTTGTACAGATAGAGTGGGAGGGAGAGAGAGGAAGGGAGAGAGAAACATCGACGTGAAGGGACACATCGAGTGGCTGCCACCCGCACGACCAACCAGGGCTGGGGACAAAATGCAACCGAGGTACATGCCCTTAGCGGGAACTGAACCCGGGTCTCTCCGGACCGCAGGCCGACGCTCTAACCGCTGAGCCAAACTGGCCAGGGCGCAAGAGGCTTTTAAATGCCACCAAATCCTGCCTGGAGGTCCAACCAGATGAGTTGCTCTCTTCCACTATCTCTGCCTCTGAGCAATCCTGGGCCCTGGCACACACTTGTACATGCATATTCATCCACATGTACATGCACATACAACACATACACTTGTACACAACTTGCACATAACTCTTACACATGCCAAACACACTTGTACACTTGTATACACTACACATGCATGCTCATACAGGCATGCACATGTTCATACATGCACAAGCACACACAACACAAACACAACACACTCATAACACACAATACAGCTGTACATACATGAGACACACTCATACATACATGCACATAAAACACACACAGATTTCTCCCTCTCTCTCTGTCTCTCATACACACGCTCAGGTCCCAGGAAAGGCCTCACATACTTGAGTTGGGGCCAAAGTTATGTGCTCAGGGTAACATCCTAAGGCATGGACTCAGGCAGATCTGGTGGCCCCTAAGGGTGATTGCTGGTCAGGGAGCCACATGCACCCGTAAAACATGAGCCTGTTTTGTGGGGCCCCGTGTCCCCAGAAGAGGCAGTGAGGTGTGCTGAGGGTACAGGGGTGCAGTCCTGGTTTTGCCCCAACCTGTTACATGGAGCACCTAACAGTGCTTCACTCCCTTCTGATGCCAACACTCCATCTTGCTTTCCAAATAGGCCTGTAAACTCTGGTCAAGAGCAGTGGCAGCCAGGTCATCTCCTGCTCAGGGAAGGGCTCTGCACACAGGGTACTCAGAAACTACAGGCTGAAGGCCATCAGTGAAGCCAGAAGTCCCCTGGGGTCTCCTGTGGCCTATGTCCTATCCTCCCCCAAAAAAGACCAACTCTAATCATGGACAGTGGTTGGTGACCTTGGAGAGAAGCTCTAAGAGTTTCTCCCAGGTGAGTATGAAAAAACAAACAAACATACCTCTACCTTTTTCTTCCGTCCAGCCAGGGGGCCCCGCTTTGGCACCCGGACCATAGCTTTCTTCTCAGGGGTGAAGTCCTGGGCAGAGAGAAGGGAACTGAATAGGGTCCCACTGGCTGGCCACTGCTCGGTTCCCACCTGTGCATCTCTCCCCTATCCACCCAAGGAGCCAACCACCTGCTCACCTGATCACTGGTCTTTTCTGACTCAGATGAGCTTTCAGAGTTCTCCTCCTCGGATGGAGACACACTAGCTTGATCCAGGTCACTGGAGGCCTTCCGGGCTCGTTTTGAGACTGACATCTGGAGGGAGAACAACCCAAACAGATCAGGAACCAGGAAAGTGCATGTGCTCAGCAGAGCTGTCTCCCACCTGACCCCTCTTAGCTCAGGGAAGAGCTGAGATTCTAGAACCTTTGTAAGAGCAACAGAGACCCTTCAAGAATCTGATAAAAAAACAGGAATCTTAGCCCAGCCGGTGTGGCTCAGTGGCTGAGCACTGACGCATGCACCAAGAGGTCACTGGTTCAATTCCTGATCAGGGCACATGCCCAGGTTGTGGGCCAAATTCCCAGTGGGAGCATGCAGGATGCGGCCAATCAATGTTCTCTCTCATCGATGTTTCTTTCTCTCTCCCTCTCCCTTCCTCTCTCTATAAAAACAATAAAGAGCCCCGGCCAGTTTGGCTCAGCAGTTAGAGCGTTGCTCTGCAGACCAATGAGTTGTGGGTTCGATTCCAGTCAAGGGCATGTACCTCAGTTGCCTCTCGCATGACCCCAACCAGGGCCAGGGACCAAACCACAACTGAGGCACATGCCCTTGACCAGACTCAAACCCGCGACTCTTTGGTCCCGGCCCAACACTCTAACCACTGAGCCAAATCGGTCAGGGCAATAAGGGCTTTTTATTTTTTAATTTTTTTTTCTTTATTGATAATTGAGAGAAAGAGGAAGGGAGAGGGAGAGAGAGAAAGAAACATTGGTGAGGGAGAAGATTGATTGGCTGCCTCCTGAATGTCCCCCACTGGGAATCAGGCCCACATTCTGGGCATGTGACCTGACCAGGAATCAGTTGATGCTCAACCACTGAGCCACACTGGTCAGGCAATGGGGGCTTTTAAAAAATATATTTTTAGGTTGATTTTGAGAGGGAGAAAAAAATCAATAAAGGGAAAAAAATTAAAAACAAAAAGTCCTTGGGTGAAGATTCAAACATAAATAAATAAAAACCACTATCAAGTATAAATAAAAAAGTTGGGGGGAAACTAAATGCTCCAAATCTTTTTGTTAATCCTCACCGGAGGACATTTTTGCATTCATCTTCAGATAGAGCGGGGGAGAAGGGGGAAGAGAGAGAGAGAAACATCCATGTGAGAGAGACACACCGAGTGGTCGCCACTCACACAACCCCAACCTGGGTCAGGGACAAACCGCAACCAAGGCACATGCCCTCAGTGAGAACCGAACCCGGGACTCTCTGGTCCACAAGCTGACGCTCTAACTGCTAAGCCAAACTGGCCATGGCTAAATGCCCCAAATCTTTTTTTTTTCTTTTATCCTCACCTGAGGACATTTTTCCATTTTTTGTTCAGATAGAGTGGGAGGGAGAGAAAGGAAGAGAGAGAGAAAGTGAGAAACATCAACATGAAAGGGACACATCGAGTGGCTGCCTCCCGCACGACCCAACCAGGGCCGGGGACAAACTGCAACCGAGGTACGTGCCCTTAGCAGGAACCTCTTAACAGTTTTCAGTACAATTCGGAGGTGTACCTGCCCCACCCCATCCTTACCTTCAAGGCTGATGCCTTTCGCTTCAGGCTGCTGTTGTCACTGCTCTTGTCTGAGTCCGAATCACTCTCCATCCTGTCGCTGGTGGCTGCAGCAGTCACAGCTGTGACAGCCATTACTCCTCTGTCCTCGTCGTCCTCACTCCTGCCTGCCGGGTCAGCCTCAGGGGCCTCACTGTCAGAGGAACTCACCGGCTGGGGCACAGGGGACAGACACAGTGAGTCACCCCCCGGCTTGGGTGGATTTCCTAACTAGGACAGCGACCCAGAGGACAGCACCCACCAGTGGCAGTGTCTCAAAAGCCAGGGCCTCCTCACTTTCCCAGTGGGGTAACTGAGGCCCAGAAAGCCCTGAGAACTGAGGCAGGGGGTTGAGATGGACAAAACTAGGATTCGAGCACTGTGGAATTCAAGATCAAACCCTGGGCAAGTGACTTAAGCTTAAACCTCTCTGTGCCTCAGTTTCCACATCAAAGCAATGAGGATGCCACTGTTTTGGCCTCACAGGACTATGACAAGGATGAGACACAAGTGATATGTGACATACTTAGGACAGTGCCCAGACTGGCAAGAGGTCCATCAGGCTGACTTTTTAGTAGTAGTAGTAGTAGTAGAATTAGTATTCTCCTAATTAAGAGAAGATAGCTGACCTAGAACAGGACCTCTGGGCTTGAACTTAAAGGCACTGTGATTTCTGTTTTAACCCAAATTCCCACTCAGGCAGTGTCAGCCTCAAAGATAGTAAATGCTTATATGGCACTTCGTCTGTACGAACCACAGGCCAGGCTCATTTACAACTCAGTCACTTTTGGGAACAGGTGCTGGGTGCCAGGCACTGTACTAGGTAGGTGGTGAGCACACAGATATGAACAGGTCATGGTCCCTGCCCCTGAGGAGCTTACAATCTAGTGGTGGAAACATAGCCACTTGGACAGACCAATGTCACACTGTGGTGATGGTAGTAAGGAAAATATCAGCACATGGGTGGGAAAGAATTGAAGAGAGGTGAGTGTCAAGTGGTGGGAGTATTTTGCACTGGGAGGGGGACCCTCAGAGGACATGACATTTTAGCTGAGGGGTCGTCCCAAGCATGCAAAGGGATAGAGGACAGACACATTTGGGAAGAAAGGATTGGCATAAGTGAAGGTTCCCATAAGGAACCTGGACAGGTAGGGGGCACAGCGAAGGAGAAGCAAACAGCAGCAGAGAGGCTGGGAGGTTAGGCCGGGCCAGATCATGCAGGAGTTATCAAGGCTCGAGATCAGGCAGATGGCACAATGATAGTCAGGCCACAAGGCTTTCTCGGGTCCCTTTTTAAACTTCTTCTGGATGTTTTATGTTTGTGGGAGGAAAATGGATGGGCCCCGGTCGTATTCAGCCATCATTCATTCATCCAATGAACGTCACAGAATACCTACTATGTGCCCGGCCCTGTGCTGGGTGCTGGGGCTAGAGATGAGTAAGACAGTGTCCCTGCCCTTGGGGAGCTCATAGTCTAATGGGGAGACAGACAAGTAAACGCACAGTTACAACACAGCATGAGGGGGGCACCCAGCCAAGTCCAAGAGTAAAACCTGACCAGGTTTTTTTCATGGCAGGTACCTCTTTTCTAAATAACTGATTATTTTTTTAAGAACAAAATTTAGAGTCTTAAAAGCCACATTCTCTGGAAATAACCCAAATGTCTATATACTGATGAATAAATAAAATGTGGGATAGCTACAGAATGGAATACTGTTCAGCCATAAAAAGGAATGAAGCTCAGATACATGCTAACCAACATGAGTGAACCCTGAAAGCATGCTGAGAAGCCAGACACAAAGGACCAAATATATGATTCCATTCACATGAAATGTCCAGAACACACAAATTCATCAAAACAGAAAGTGGGTTAGTAGTTCCTAGGGTTTGGGGGAGCAGAGAATTGGGGGTGGCTGCTAATGAGGAATGAAGTTTCTTTGTGAGGTGATGAGAATGTTCTGGAATTAGATAGTAGTGATGGATGCACAACATTGTGAAAGTAGTAAAAGCCACTGTAGTGTATGTTTTAAAATTATGAATTTTATGCTATGTGAATTTCACCCCAATTAAGAAAAAAGGACATTACCCAAAAAAAGCCACATTCTCTTGGTGTGGTGATAGTTGGGGTTCAATGGATTAGAGGAGGGCATGCACGCTGGCCAAGAAAAAAGCAAGGAGGACCAAAAGGGCATGAGAGGACGGGAGAGGACTCTCCAGGGCTGTACCAACAGGACATACTAAGTAAGACTAGAGTGAGGAGCAAGAAGAGGCAGAGGTTAGTGTGGCTGGGTGGCCAGGAGGAGATAAGAGGGGTCATGAACAGCTGGACAGAGGTAGAGGCCAAGTCTTGGCAGCATATCAAAATGGAAACGTGAAGAGAATGAAAATATAAGTGTGGGTGCCAGAGCTGGACCAGGAATAGCAATAACACAGGAGGGGCCAAGCAGAGTAAGTGGCTGGGAAGGGACTCAGTCCATCATTACTCCCCACTCCATGCTCACTCATGTATAAAGCCCATTCTTCCCCCACCGAGAAATTGAAGCCCTCACAGCCTTCACCACAATCCCTATTTAACAGAAGACAAAAATGAAAATCAGGTGTTGATAGGACTTGGCAGCTCAGCATCAAACACCTTTTACCTCCCTTGGGTCATTGTGCCCAAGGGCCTTAAGCAGGTCTGTATGTCTGACAAGATTAAAAAGTACAATATTAAGTAGATCAAGGTCCAAACCTAAAATGCTAGAAGAATCACGCCTTCACGGTGGGTTTCTATCACACCTGTCCTCTAAGACTAAGGAACACCACTGATGAATACAGAAGAGAGATGCTTGCCCTGGCCGGTTTGGCTCAGCGGTTAGAGCGTCGGCCTGCGGTCCGGAGAGACCCGGGTTCGGTTCCCACTAAGGGCACGTACCTTGGTTGCAGTTTGTCCCCAACCCTGGTTGGGTCGTGTGGGTGGCAACCACTCGATGTGTCGCTTTCACGTCGATGTTTCTCTCTCTCTCTCTCTCTCCCACTCACTCTATCTGAACAAAATATCGAAAAATGTCCTCGGGTGAGGATAAAAAAAAAAAAAAAAACAGAAGAGAGATGCTATCCCATTTTTGCCTCTTGGAGAGTAAGTGACTGACTGGCTGGTCCAAAGAACTTTTGCAAGCGTTAGTTCAGTGCAAACCACCCGACACTGAACTCATCACTTCTCTCTCTCTGTATGTGTAATTTATGGGAGCTGTCATCCTATTTTGCAGGTGAGAAAAAAGGCAGTTTGACAAGATCACACAGCAGGTAAGTGACAGAGATGGTTGCAAGGCAAGTCTACCTTGGCCACTAAACCTGGGTCCTGCACACAGCTAGTGCTTATTAGATCCTTCCTTGCTTCTAAGGAGCACTTGATCAACTGTGATCCGATTTGTGCCTCCATGGCCCATCAGGTGATTGGGATGAATGGACATGGTCCACAATTAGGGAAACCAAGTCTCTGGGAAGTAAGTGACTTGTCCTACATTCTGCTTGAGGGTAAAGCCAGGAACTCTGATCTGGGTCAGCCCATTGGATCTGTGTGCCTGCCAGCAAAGATTTTGGGAACTCTGATACATGTGGAGAAGTTTGGGGGACATCTCCACACCAAGTGGCTGAGTGAGATGAGCATTCATTTCTCTGTCTTTTCTTTATTTTTTTAATCCTCACCAGAGGACATTTTTCCATTTATCTTCAGACAGAGAGGGGGAGAGAGAGGGAGGAAAAGAGAGAGAGACACATCGAGTGGTTGCCACCCATACACCCCCAACCAGAGCCAGGGACGAACTGTAACCGAGGTATGTGCCCTTAGCAGGAACGGAACCCAGGTCTCTCTTGTCCGCGGGCCAACATTCTAACCGCTGAGCCAAACTGGCCAGGGCTCTCTCACTGTCTTAATGGATCTGGAGGTGAATGAGGTAGAAAGGGAAGGTCAAGCCCTGGCCAGTTTGGCTCAGCGGTTAGAGTGTCGGCCTGCGGTCCGGAGAGACCCGGGTTCGGTTCCCGCTAAGGGCATGTACTTCGGTTGCAGTTTGTCCCCGGCCCTGGTTGGTCGTGCGGGTGGCAGCCACTCGATGTGTCCCTTCACGTCGATGTTTCTCTCTCCCCCCCCCCCCCCCACTCTATCTGTACAAAAAATGGAAAAATATCCTCGGGTGAGGATAAAAAAAAAAAAAAAAAGAAAGGGAAGGTCAAAACCAGTCTGGCCTCCTCATTCCCAACTACTATCTTGCACTTACTATATGACTGCTAAGTACCTGATACGCATTTGCTCACTTGAACCCAAGTCCAGATGCCCACACAGCATGACTCTTAACCTCACATCCCACCATGTAGAGGTTATTCTCGGGGCACTCCTCCTTCTCCAGGCCCTCACTTCCATCTGCCAGAGGGAAAAGAATTTCACCCTGGGAGGCAGTAGGCCTAGGTATTAGTTCCAGCTCAGCTCTGACCAGCTTGAGAATCCTGGAGAGATCCCCTTACCTCTTCCTCTATTGGAGACCAGATGTATTAACTGGAATCCTTCTAGGTTTTTTTTTTAATCCTCACCCGAGGACATTTTTTTCATTTTTTGTTGTTGTTGTTGTTGTTCAGATAGAGTGGGAGGAAGAGAGAGAGAAACATCGACGTGAAAGGGATATATCAAGTGGTTGCCACCCACATGACCCAACCAGGGCCGGGGACAAACTGCAACCGAGGTACGTGCCCTTAGCGGGAACCAAACCCAGGTCTCTCTGGACCACAGGTCGACACTCTAACCGCTGAGCCAAACCGGCCAGGGCGGAATCCTTCTAGGTTAATAGTGTTCAACCAGCAGTGATTTTGTCCCCCACTTGGTAATGTCAGGAGACATTCTGATTATCATGATGGGGTGCTCCTGGCATTCAGTGCATGGGGGCCAGAGATGCTGCTCAACACCCCATGGTGCCCAGTACACCCCCACAAAAAATGATATGATCCGAATGTTGAAAAACCCTGGTCTGGGTTTAAGTGGTCTCAGATTCCATCTGGGTCCTTCTGGGAAATCAAGTGAACTCTCTGAGCCTTAGTATGTTCTTCTGTAAAATGGAAAAAATGCCACTGGCTCACCCCACTCTCAGGATTACTGTGTGGACCTAAAGACAAATGAAGTTGGAACCATACCAAGATACCATTTTCCCCCTCCCGGCTTGGCAAGGGATGTGGAACAGGCCTTGCCATATACTCCTGGTAGGAACACCAGATGAGTTGAGATTGAAAAGAATCAGGCTATTCTCAGCATGTTGCAGTAGACTAGTCGTCAAGACATATTATTGCGGGGGATAAAGCAAAGTACAGGACTATATACTTTAAAAAAGAAAGCTAGCCCAGCTGGTGTGGCTCACTGGTTGAGCATCAACCCATGCATCAAGAGGTCACTGGTTCGATTCCCAGTCAGAGCACATGCCCAGGTTTCAAGCTCAATCCCCAGTAGGCAGTGGACAAGAAGCAGCCCAATGAATGTTTCTCTCTCTCATAGATGTTTCTAACTCTCCCTCCTCCTTTCTCTCTAAAAAAAAAAAATCAATAAAAACCTATTTTTAAAAAAAAGAAAACTACATAGGGTTTTATGTGAATAAAGAATCTTGGAAGAATATATAAGAAGCTAGTAGTTATGACTGTCTTGAGAGGAAATGAAAACAGAGTGACCAGGAGGCAGGACTGACTTTTCACTATACGCCCCTTTTATACCTTTTCAGTTTTGTACCACATGTCTGTATTCCCATTCAAAATGTAAAAATAGCCCTGGCCGGTTTGGCTCAGCGGTTAGAGTGTCGGCCTGCGGTACAGAGAGACCCGGGTTCGGTTCCCGCTAAGGGCATGTACCTCGGTTGCAGTTTGTCCCCGGCCCTGGTTGGTCGTGCGGGTGGCAGCCACTCGATGTGTCCCTTCACAACGATGTTTCTTTCTCTCTCTCTTCCTCTCTCTCCCTCCTGCTCTATCTGAACAAAAAAAAAAAAATGTAAAAATAAACTGCATCTTAGAGGATGAAAAACAAGACTGCTCGGGTATCCATAAAGCAATGATTCTAAAAGTCTGTCTGTGAACTGGCTCTATGAGAAGCATTTAGGATGATGCATGGGAAGAAAAACCCCAAGGTCCCCACGCCTCAGCCCTAAACTAGTACACCTAAACCTCGAGGGGTGGGGTCCAGAGATCTACATTTTAAACCGATGTTCCACCTATAGGCATAGACTGGTTAGAGAACCAAATAGCAGTGTTAAGCTCTCACACTAGGAGCTCCTTCCTAACTTGGGGAGCCTGTATGTTTAATGTCAAGGTCACATCATTTTTGAGTTCTGTTTCCTCGAGGGCAGGCATCCACACAGTACTTCGCAAGCTGTGGGTGTGCAATAAATATTAAGTAGAGTGATGATTCACCAGGCGGCAATAAGCTTAAGATGTAACAGAACAGAACTTGAGGTGGGGCCAGAAAAATGTCTCATGAAACTCAACTACCTTAAAGACTTTCCTATCCTTTTACCTGAGATAGGGACATGCAAAGCACCAGAAAATGGTGGGTATCAAAGAGGGGAGACCTCTGTCTCCCAGACCTATCATGGGAGGTAAAAAGTCAAATGCCCCCCAATATGCATTAAATGTGAGCCTGGTCTATCTATTGAGTGAGCCCTGAATTCTGGGCCATGAGCTCCTGGGAGAAAGAAGTGTACCTGAGTCATCCTGAATTCCTGGTCCCTAGCTGTGTGAAGGTGTCAGTACAGGAGTGTCTGCTGGATCAGTGGGTGGACTGAACCACATGAGAGGCACACCCAGACCATTTCAAGACCCGAAGTTCTCAAGCAGAACCAGGCCCCACAGAACTACTCAATCCTTTGCTCACACAAACCAAACCCTCTCCGACTCCTGCTTCCCTCCCTACAGACCTTGCCGGAAGTGCTTTTCCTCCCTACAAGCCATGCTCTGCCCGCTTTGGTCAATTCACTCCCAGTCAACCTTAAGTCCACCCCTCCTGAGACTGGGCTAGTCCACCTTCCCATACCACCCACAGAAACCCCAAAAGCAGTGGTTAACAGCAGGGTGGAGAACCTCAGACCAGCCTCCCCTCATCTGCATCTCACCTGAAAATATCCAGAGCAAGGCACTCCCCTGCCATCCTTCTGCAGCCTTCCATGTCTTTTTATGAATTTAACTTCAACTTTTCTAGATCCTTCCCTTTCCCTGAATGTTTCCAGATACCGACTCGCCACTAAGATGTCATCTTTATGATTTTTGGCATTTTTTTTCCCACCCAAACAACTCTCACATCTACTAACTGCTGCCTTTTTCCGAGTCTAAAATCTGGCAGTAATGGAAAAATTGGGAGTTATTATTTAAAAAAAAAAAAGTTTTCCTTAGAAAACAAAAGGTTTTATAGGAGCTCTAACAACATTATTATAAATTCACACTAATCCTAGAGCAGTGGGTCTCACAAGGGGTGAGCCCGCACCCCTCCAACCCACCCAAGGAACACTAGGTAATATCTGAGGACATGCTTGGTTGGACAAGTGGTCTGGGGAGGATGCTCCTGGCAACAAGTGGGTGGGAGGCAGAAATGCTGCTTAATACTCCACAGTGCCCAGGACGGCCCCCCAAAGAGAATGATCCAGTCCAGATTGTCAATAGTACCAAGGGGCAGGAGCCCTGCCCCAGAGGCCTCTCCTTTTTCTATAAGACAAGCTAAGGCTACTTCTAGTCTCCAATGAATATGAGCACTGCCTGTCTTGGCTCTGCAGACCCCGCGCCAGTTGTCCCCAACCCCCAGGTACTCACCAGAGGGGCACTGTAACTGGCGTGGGGATTGTTCTGGATCTCCCACAGTCCCTCATTGAAGCCTTTCCTCTTGTTTGGTTTCCCGTACTTATCTTTCCACTTGTCGTAGGGAAACAGATCCTTGGGTCCCAGGAAGGCTCTGGAGAGAGAAACCACAGCTGGTCCCAGGTGAGCCAGGCCACCGTAGGAGGCACCAAAGGGGGAAAAAAATTAAGCCCAGTGAGGGACACTTACGTTTCATGTGTACCAAAGAAGAAGATGGGGTACTTGTTGGGTGGGGGCTTCACAGCACCATCAGCAATGTCATCGATCTGCAGTGAGAGGCTGGTAAGGGGGTGGCTGAGGAGCATGGCAGCTTCACCCACTAACCCAGAAAATAGCCAAGTTATTTAAGGGAAAGCATGCTGGGAGAAGGGAAACTGTCAACCTAGTAGGATGCATCACCTTCCTGTTAGGCATCTGCATTCCTCTGTGTACCCTTCCCCCCATTGCATTTCTATCCCCTCCTCCACACACAGGATACTCTCTCTGCCCCCCAAGGTAGGTGCTTCACCTGAGCAAAGCCAAAAATAGTCCTCTGAGCAGCCAGTGGGTGGGGCCAAACTCAGCTTCTATGAACTACCAGGATCCTCCCACAGGACCCCCTCCCTCAAAGAGGGATTGGGGTGGTGGGATGGTTGGTTTCTCAGAGGCTGCAGCAGGCAGCTCCAAGGATGCAAGGGAGGAGGGGGGCTGCAGGAGACAGGCCCTGAGCATCCAGGAAGTCCCACCCTCTCCCTACAGGCCCATGGGCTCCAGCAGCTGTCAGTCACCTCCCCACAGGAGGCTAGCTGCCCCTTCACTTCCAATCAGGTGCTTGGAAATGGTCAGGGCTTAAGAGAGCAGGCTGGAGGGGGGTTGGAGAGGGAGAAGCTGGTACTCTAGAAAGAAGGGAAGTGGCCATAAAGTTTCATTGCTCTGGTGTCCTCTAAGAAAATAACCTTGAGCAAATCAGGTTAAAATGGGTTCTTTGGTCCCCATTAATTTCATAACATCCCCTTCAACTCCTGGGGGCTGCTGAGATCTTCGCTGGTCCCCTCATCCAGCTTCCTTCTCCAGCTTTACAGGCCACTTTTCAAATCCTTGGCCCTGGGCTGTAGGCTGTGGATCTGTGACATCCATCCCAAGCATCACACTCCCACACAGAAGCATCCCCAAACTCCATCACCCTGAGCTGATGCCTGGCTCAACATGCCTTCCAGGCCATCTTCGGCTCTGGCCTCACCCAGGACCCACCTCTGAGCCTGAGGCCCAGACATCCTAGTAGCAGCACCAGCTCCAGTCTGCTCTCTGGGCATTGGTCCCTGAGCCTCTCCTAACATCCTATGGTGGCCTCCCTGCACCCAAACACTCAGCTCCAAGTGTTGACCTTCTGCTTACTTCTGCCCAGAGGGAAAGAGGGTCCAGGCTGAAATCTCCAGCCATCCTATAGGACTGCTCTGGCAACTCCTGCACTCCTACTCCAGTCAAATCTCTAGCCTCATCCTTTCACTGTCCCCTGCTGCAGCCTGAGCCTCACTCCCCACCCTCAAATTCCTTCAGTCCTACCAAACATATCCCAACGATATCAGCCCTGGGGCAACCTTAGCCCTAAGATCTGGGGTTGACAATAACCTCTGGATCCTCTTCCACACTGACCTGCCCTGGACAATGCCTGGAACTCCACTCTGCCTATCTGATAAGGGACCCTAGGCTCAGGACTCCCCTTCAGATCTCAATGGAACCCTTAGACCATCTGGGTCCTTGGGATCACAGCTTCCTCCAAAAGGGATCCCCTTGGCCCAGCACCCTTCCCTCATATGCTCTCTATTTTTGGACTGCTCCCCCTTTGCAGGAGGCCAGTCTCTGATTCAAACATCTGGGAGAACCACCCCACCCTAAGCTCTCCCTCCATCCCAAGCCCCAACCAGCCTCTTCCACCAGGCTTTGTCTGGGGTGGAGTGATCCCGCAAACAAATCTTATTCCAACCTCTGGTACCTGATGTCCCAGACATTATTAGATCAAGTCCTCTCAGCTCCAGTGACCTTATGAACAGAGCCCCTAGCTCTATTTCCAGCCCTCACCTCCCTCAGCCTTGACCCTCAATCCTCCTTTACTGCACCCCTCATCTTTAGCCACCCTCACACATGGCCCCAGAGCCCCCGCCCCTCAAAACTTGGCTTCTCAAGGAGTCCCCAATCTTTCAGTGTGACATCCCCTTTCCATCAGTTTGATCCCTCTCCTCAAATCTCACGTTCCTCAGCTTCCCTCACACTCATGGACCTCCTTCAAACTTGAACCACGTCCGCTCAGGGCCCAGATCGCTCAAACACAACGTCCCTCAGCTATGGGATCCCCGGAGTGCAGGTCTCCCAGCCTGGGGCTCCCAGACCCCTGCCGCACTTTCTTCAGGCCTGGGACAACCAGACCTCAAGTTTCGCGGGTCCCCGAGGCTCGGGGGCCCCAGAACACCAACGCGCAAGTACCTCAGGCCTGGGATGCCCCGGACTCCACACGCGGGTCCCTCACGTCAGGGGACACCCCCAGACCCTAGACGCGCGGGTGCCCCAGGCCCATGGTCCCTTAGACCCCCCCACCCCAGTACATAAGGCCCGAAGCTCCCAGGCACCCGACGTGGGGGTATTTCAGGCCCGGGACATCCAGAAATCCAGGAACGCGGGTTCCTCACCATGGGCCTCCCAGAACCCCGGCGCGCGAGTCCCTCAGGCCCGGGTCCCCTACTGCCCCACCCCCCGCCTGGCACATCTCCCGCGCGGCCTCACCCGGGCCGGCCAGTGCGGGTAGCCCTTCATTTTGGCAAACACCAAGTCCCCGGGCTTGAAGGCGTGCGGCATGCTGGCGGCGGGAAGCCAAGCCCGCGAGAGGCAGCGGCAGCGGCGGCGGCGGCGGCAGCGGCGGCGGCGGCAGCGGCAGCGGGAGGCGAAGCCGGGGGCGGGAGCTGGAAGCGAAGGGGGCGGAGACGGTCGCTTGGGCAGCGGGCCGACGCGTGCTTATTGGGCTGCGCTGTGCCGCCGGATGTCCCACCTTCCTGCCATCACCGGCGGGAGACGCGGTCGCTCATAACCACGTGCCGGGATAGAGGAGCGCGGGGACCAATGAAAACAAGGCTTGGAGAACAAGTTAACGGGATTGGATAACGGGTAAAGCCAAGGGGCGTGACTCAGGGGCCTAATAGAAGGGGGAGGAGGTTATGGGAGGTGAGAGGGGAAAGGGGGAAGGAGGGAAACGAAGGCGGTCAGGGAGCCTAGAGAAGAGCTGCTGGGCTCCTTCTGGGCGGAGCTTAGGGTAGAGGAGCGGACCATGGACGGCCACAGTAGGAGGGGTCTTATGTAGGAGGCAGGCCATTGGATACCACAGAATAGATGGCCCAATCAGTGTAGGCGGCGGGTCATTTGATAGCCTCTCGCTCTCATAGGCAGGGCTTGAAAGAGAGCTGCAGGCCATTGGATACCATAAGAGAAGCGTCTCAAGGTAGGGGGCGACCATTGACTACCACAGGAGGCGTGGCTTAAGCATCTGTCCGCCATTGGATCTCCTACGAGAGGAGGGTAAGGCAAAATACAGAGGTGCCACGGCCTACCCCCCCAGGGGGCGGGGCTCAGGAGAAGGAGCGAACCCAGAAGGGGGTTCATAGGTTTAACAACCATAAAATGTGCAGAACTTAGGAAAAGTTTATTGAACACCATGTGCCAGAGCTACAAAGTACTCAATATAGATATTAATTTATTCAAGAAAAGTGTTTTGAGCATTGTGTGGCCAAGTTACTGAATGTCTCTGTGCCTCAATCTCCCCACCTGTAAAATGGAACTCATAATGTTAGTGATCTTATAGAGGCACTAGGATTAAATAACTTCATGCCTAAGGCGCTGGAAACTGTCTGGCATTAGGTAATACTGGGAGCATTAGATATTGTTAGCCTGCCCTTAAAGAATTCAATATAATTAGGATCCCTGTGTTAAACAAAATATGTAATTTCCATACCTGAAAGTCTTAACAGAAAAGGTTTAGTCCTGGCCAATGTGGCTCAGTTGGTTGGGCAGCCTCCAGAGCACCAAAAGGTTGCTGGTTTGTTTTCTGGTCAGGGCACACAGGTCAGGGCTCATGTCCTCCCTGGTAGGGGGCCTGCAGGAGGCAGCCAATCGATGTTTCCCTCTCACATCAATATTTCTCTCTCTCTTTCTCTCCCTTCCACTCTCTCTATAAATCTTTTTTTTTTTTTAATCTTTAAAAAAAGGAAAAAGAGCCCTGGCCCGTTTTCTCAGTGGTTAGAGCATCAGCCCACACACCAAAGAGTCATGGGATTGATTCCTGGTCAAGGGCACATACCTGGCTTGCATGTTCATCCCTGGAGGAGGCATGCAGGAGGCAACCAATCTATGTATCTTTCTCTCACATCAATGTTTCTCCCTCTCTTCTTCTCTCTCTCCCTCCACTCTTTATTGATCAATGGAAAAAATATCCAGTAAGGATTAACCAAAAGAAAGAAAGAAAGAAAGAGTTTATTAGACCATTGCTAGTAAAAAAAAAAAAAAAAAAAATAGAAGAATTAGAAGGAGGAGGAAAAAGAAGGAAAAGGAGGACGATAAGGAGAAGAGGAAGAAGAAGAGAACCATCTTGGGTATGGAGTCTAAACCACCAGCAGCACAGATAGGTAGGAAAGACAGGACAATCCATTTGGAGTCTGCAAACATTTTTATGCATCAAGTAGGGAAAAGGGAGAAGAAAAATGAAAGAATTTACATTAGTTTTAGGCAAAAGGGTGGGAGAAAGTGAAGCAGGACTCAGGGCTAGTTCTTGGATAGACACAGCAAAGTCCTTAAAATTCATGTGTAAAGAAGAAGCAGGGGCTCCTAGGGTTCTATTATCTGGCTATTATCTCTTTTATAGATAATCTGAAAAATATCCTCCTGGAAGTTAATAATTCCAACATACACTAAGGAGTGTGAGTAATCTTTCCCTTCTCCATAGTCTTCTATATCTTGAAATGCCCAGAAAGAAAACAGATTGGAAAATGGGGCTCCCTGGGCACCCTTGCTAGGTTTCTTTGAATCAAGAAAGCCAGGGGACCCTGGCCGGTTTGGCTCAGCGGTTAGAGCGTCGGCGTGCAGTCAAGAGAGACCTGGGTTCGGTTCCCGCTAAGGGCATGTACTTCAGTTGCAGTTTGTCCCCGGCCTTGGTTGGGTCGTGCGGGTGGCACCCACTCAATGTGTCCCTTTCACGTCAATATTTCTCTCTCTCTCTCTCTCTCTTCCCCTCTTTCCCTCCCGCTCTGTCTGAATAAAACTGGAAAAATGTACTCGGGTGAAGATAAAAAAAAAGAAAGACAGGGGGTCCGGCTGGTGTGGCTCAGTTGACCCATGCACCAAGAGTACATTCCCGGTCAGGACACATGCCAAGTTGTGGGCCAGATCCCCAGTGGGGAGCAAGCAGGAGGTGGCCAATCAATGTTCTCTCTCATCAATGTTTCTATCTCTCTTTTCCTCTCACTTCCTCTCTCTCTAAAATCAATAAAGGAAAACAAAAATTTTTTAAGAAAGGCAAAGGGTGTAGCTTAGTGGTTAAGCATCAACCCATGTACCAAGAGGCTGCCGGTTCGATTCCTGGTCAAGACACATGCCCAGGTTGTGGGCCAAGTCCTCAGTGGGGGGGCATGCAGGAGGCGGACAATCGATGTTCTCTCTCATTGATGTTTCTCTCTCTCTCCCTCTCCCTTCCTCTCTCTCTAAAATCAATCAAAAGGGAAAAAAATGTTTAAATAAAAAATAAATAAATAAATAAATAAATAAATAAAAGAAAGGCAGGGAAGCCCTGATCAAATAGCTCTGTTGGTTAGAACATCCTCCCAATACGCCAAGGTTTTGGATTTGATCCCTGATCACATGCAAGAATCAACTTATGAATGCATCAATAAGTGGAACAACAAATCAGTCTCTCTCTATTCAAAATCAAAATCAACAAAATAAAATTAAATTGAAACATAATAAAATAAAGTAAAATAAAATAAAGAAAGACAGTCCCGCTGGTGTGGCTCAGTAGTTGAGTATCGACCCATGCACCAAGAGGTTGCTGGTTGGATTCCAGGTCAGGGCACATGCCCAGGTTGTGGGCCCCATCCCCAGTTGGGGGCATACAGGAGGCAGCCAATCAATGTTCTCTCTCATCGATGTTTCTCTCTCTTTCCTTCTCCCTTCCTCTCTCTCTAAAATCAATACAGAAAAAAAAATTTTAATTACACATAGACTTACCATATGACCAAGCAATTCAATCTCTACCCAAGAGAAATAAAAATGAACATTCACACAAAAACTTCTACACTCACAGTCATAGCAGCATTATTTATAACAGCCCAAAGGAGGAAATAACCCAAATGTCCATCAATGGCTAAATGAATAAATCAAATGTAGTATATTCTTATGATGAATAATACTCAGCAATAAAAGAAAATGAGCCCTGGTTGGTTTTGCTCAGTGGTGAGAGTGTTAGTCCATGGACCAGAGAGTCGTGGGTTCCCGGTCAGGGTATGATTCCTGCCCTGGTCAGGGTCATGAGGGAGGCACATCTTTCAAGATAGAATAGATCGGTGGTTGGTTGTCTTGGGCTGGGAGCAGGAATCCAAAGTGACTGCAAATGGGTATGATGTCTCTGTTTAGGGTGAAAAAAGTGTTTTAAAATTAGATCGTGATGCCCTGGCTGGTTTGACTCAGCAGTTGGCCCACAGACCAGAGTCGCAGGTTCGATTCCAGTCAAGGGCACATACCTCGGTTGTGGTTTGTCCCTGGGCCTGGCCCGGGTCATGTGGGAGACAACCAGTCGATGTGTCTCTCTCACATCAATGTTTCTCTCTATCTCCTTTCTTTTTTTTTTATCCTCACCTGAGAACATTTTTGCATTTATCTTCAGATAGAGTGGGAGGGAGAGAGAGAGGAAGAGAGAAACATCAATGTGAGAGAGACACATTGATTCGCTGCCACCCACACAACCCCAACCAGGGCCGGGGACAAACCGCAACCAAGGCACGTGCCCTTAGCGGGATCGGAACCTGGTCTCTCTGGTCTGCGGGCCAACACTCCAACTGCTGAGCCAAACTGGCCAGGGCTCTCTCTATCTCCTTTCCTACCTTTCACTCTGACTAGAAATCAATGGGGAAAATATCTTTGGGAGAGGATTAACAAAAACAAATAAAACAACTTTATAAATAATAATAACTAACATTTATTGAGCAGCTACTATGTTCCAGACCACGCTATATAGTTTGTATTTAACATGGTTAATTTTATTCCCACATCAGTTGTTATTTTTCACCCCTACTTTCCAGATGGGGAAACTGAGGAAGAGGAGTAGCATCAGTAGGGGTTGGAACTGGTGAGTGTCAGACTCCATCTTCCCTAGAGCTCCTCCCCACCTGAGCTATGAGGGTAACATGTTAATTTATTGCAGGCTTGCTCAGAGCCAGGGGAAGTTCCCATCTCATTTATTCTCCCCAGGAGCTAGTCAGAAATGTAGAGTCCCAGCCTCCTCAAGAAAGGATGCATCATCATCTGCATTTAAACAAACTCTCCATAGGATTTGAAAAGCACCTCACTGAAGTGAGATTGGGGTCTGATGGTCCTGGGCTGGATTTCTACCCCTGCAATCTGTGAGGATATGTTTGAAACTTTACAACTTTTCGTATAAATTGGAACAAATATCAGTACTTCTTTTCTTTTCTTTCTTTCTTTTTTTTAATACTCACCTGAGTATATTTTTCTATTTAGAGTGGGAAGGAGAGCAAGAGAGGGAGAAAGAAATATCAATCTGACAATCACACATCTACTGGTTGCCTCCTGCATGACCCCGAGCAGGGCCAGGACAAACCGCAACCGAG